AGGGCATGCTGGAGCTTACAGGTCTGGGGTCCCCACAGGTGTCTGGCCGGAGGAGCCCCGAGCCCTGCAGCAAACCTGAGAAGATTCTGAAGAAGGCTACCTATGACAAGGTGGAGGTGTTGGGCCCCTGAGGATGTGGGTGGGTTGGGTCTTGAACTGCTGCACCTGAGTTCCCCGAGTTCATTGACGCACTTCTCCCCAGGCTTACACGGACGAGCTGGTGGAGTTGCACCGGAGGCTGATGGCTCTGCGTGAGCGCAATGTACTGCAGCAGGTACTGAGCCCTCCCGCCCGTACTCTTCCCTCCCCTCCCTCCCCTCCCCTCCCTGGCATGGGCACCCGGCTCTGTTCCCTGAGTCCACCAAACCCACCTTACAGATTGTAAACCTGATCGAGGAGACCGGCCACTTCAATGTCACCAACACCACCTTCGACTTTGACCTTTTCTCCTTGGACGAGAGCACCGTTCGCAAGCTGCAGAGCTGCCTGGAGGCCGTGGCCACATGACCCCGGCCGCCACTGTAGAGCCACGGTGGGCATGGGCATGGGAGGGGCTGGGCATGAGGGCTGGCCCACCATGGCTCCCGCTCCCGGTACCACCCCCAGCTCACCATGGTGCCCTGGTGCCCCTCAGTGGTTGGTGTTGAAGGGGCTGTGGGCCACACTTCCACAGGAGGGGGTGACACAGGACACGTGTGGCCTGCAGCCCCTCATCCATTCTGCCAGTTGTCCACTGTGGGTGGGGCTGAGTGGCAGATCCCTGCCTGGGCCTCTCTGGGTGGCCAGGATGACCACAGTCTTCCATGCAGTTCACAGGCCTTCCTCTGCTGGCCTGCCTCCTAGACTCAAGGGTCTGTCAGCATGGCCAGGGCTAGCCTGCCTCTGGCACCCTGCCATACAGCCTTGTGTATTGTGTACTCTGGGTGTGTCCAGCAGCTGGGGAGGCTCATGCCACCCCCTGCCGGAGCACAGAGGATCTCCTCTCTAGATCCCAGGGTGCCACTGCTTCTCGTGGCCCCAGGCCAGTGAACACTACGATGGGCACGAGTCTTGGGTCCACAAGGGCCACCTCTGTAGCCGCGTGCCAGCCAAGCACCCATGGTTCTGAGGCTGGCCATGCCGGCACTCCTGGGCCACCATTCCCCATGGGCCGCCGCCTCTGCTCTCTTGCTGATCAAGTCTTTGAACTTTGAAAACATGAGCTTTTGCCAAATATGATAGGACGGTGTGTGCGAGGCGGGCCCAGCCCCAGACTGCCTCTGTCCCCAGCCACATGGCCTCTGCCTCCACAGTGGGCCTTGAGAGGCTTTGGACCTTTGCCCTATAAACTGCCAAGGGCCAAGCCAGCCCCTTCCCATGCCCAAGCCTGGAGTACACCCCAACCCCAACTCCAGTTGTTGTCAGTGTTTGTGCCCCAACCAAGGTGTTTGAAAGAGGCCCGAGCCCAAGCTGGCTCACAGTTGCCTCTGATGTTGCTTCCTTCCCAGTGTGGGTCCACTCCTGGAGGCCTGGCCTCCCAGCTCCCTCTCCCTGTCAGAAAGACCCCAGCCTCTAAGGCTTCCCTAACCCCCAGGGAAAGGAGAGGCCTCCCCTGCAGCCCCCTCCCCACTCCCTCAGCTGGGAGGAAGCAGGGTTTGGGCTTCACACCTCTTCCCAGACAGGCCGACAATACTCTCCACCAGCGCTCTGCAGCCTCAGCCTTTGGTCGGAAGGCCCTGGCATCGTGGCAGCCATTGGCATCCACATGGAGTGCGCCAGGGCCCCAAACAGCCTCAGCCCAGGGTGCCATTCTTCCTCTTGCAGTCGCCAGGGGCCCAGCCCTCCTGCTGCCCTGGGCCTTGGTGTCCAGCCCTTCCAGATGCTTCCAAGGCCCTCCTGGAAGCACCAACCCATCTCAGTTACCTCCTCTGGCCGGAAGGTCACACCACTGTCCTCCAGAGCCACTCTGGGGCCCATGCTGGCTGTTCGGAAGCCTAAAAAAGCAGCTTGCAGACAGAGCCCTGAGGGCTCTAGGGACTAGTCCATAGGAAGGGGTGGCCCCAGGACTGCCCCCCAGTGTGTCCCTGTGCTGCAGCCTCCTGAACCAGCTCATGACACTGGGTGCAAAAGGTATTGGATACCTGTCCCTCCCCAGGGCTTCACAAGATGTGTCTCCAGGAATAGACACGTCACCGGCCCAGACGAGCCCTGGACAGAGGGACAAAGAGCCGTGTTTGTAATGAGCTGCAGGGCTGTTTGTCCCGCATTTTAAACTTTTTGTTAACTTGTGAAATTTGGAGGAGTTTTATAGAAAATAAAGTGAGATGGGAGCGGTGAGTGTCCCACCTGTGATTCAATCAGGAGAGGAGAGGAGAGAGTACCAGGAGCCTGGGCTGGGGCTCCGAAGAGGAGGGGGTGGGCCAGCAGGGGGAGCGAGTGGGGGTAAAGTGGATGGAGGGCGCCCTTTTCAGGGATTCCCAAGTGCTGGTCTCCCACAGGTCTCTGGTGTCACCCTTACCCGGTCCATTTTCACAGACTTGAGCTCCACCCAGGAGCATGCATGAGTGGCATACAGAAGCCCACATCCTCAGCCCCTGTGCCCACGTGGCAGCCCCCTCTTGAGTCCTGTTAGCAGGTGATAGCTGGGAGCTGGTGCTCAGCGGTGAAAATGAACTCCTCTAGGGCTCCTGGGCCGACACCGCCAGCCCAGCCCACTTTGCTCATCCGGGTACTGCTGCCAGAGATGGTTCCAGAAAGCTGTTGCTGGCCACTCTCAGGTGGCAGGAGGCCTGGAGCAGAACCCTGCAGAGACACACTCAGAAATTTGAGGGCTAGACCTTCAGAAAATCTGCTGTGTGAGCCGTGGGGGCCTGGGTTCCATTCTAGACCCACATAAAGTGGGGCGTGTAACGTGCATGTGTGTCTCTGGTATGTTGGGAGGGGCTAGTGGGGCCAGAGGGCAGTGTTGGGTTCCCTGGGGCTAGAGTTGAAGGCTATTGTGAGCAGTGCAGTGTTAGGAACCCAGCAGCAAGCACTCACATCTGCTCCCCACCCCCATCTGCTGCAAGCAAGGCAGCCCACAGTAGTGTTGGCTAATCTGGGGTCCCCGGTGACGTCATTGTCGAGGGGGCAGTGACATTCTCATGCAAACATGATTACTTCCCAAGGGACCACCCCCTCCCCTGCTCTCACCATACTCTTCCCCTCGTGTGTTCCTGCCAATGTCACCTACCTTATGATACAGCTACAGAACCATGCTGTTGGAACTGTCTTAACCTCCCCTTGACATCTGAGCAGCCTCTAGTGTTTTCTCCCAGCAGTGTGAACCACTGCAGTCTGTCTGGCACGCGGCTTCCCCGCCTGATGCTGGTCTGGACAGCTGGAATTGTCTGTCCACCGTCATCCCCACCTCCAGACACATGCAAGAACTATGCATGCTCAGCCTTTTTTCTCTTGAGAATGGAGACGGCTTCCAACTTAACTCACAAGTCAGACTGGGAGCCAGAAACCTGAGCCGTGCACTTCGTTGGTTATAACTTCCTGGGTAACTGAGAATGTGTGTTCACCCCAGATAGGATACCCATGGTAGACCAAAGGTCAGGTAGCTTGTAGCTTAGAGAGTCAGGCAGATCCCTGGGGTACTTGGACTGTGTCACCATTGAGCCCACCCCAGCATGGGTGTCTATTCCTAAACTGTCCCTGGAGGCCCATGCTTGACTCTCCCCCCCCCGTAATCTCCCCTGCCAGCAATCCTGACAATACATAATGTGTGTGAATGGGCCTCAGGAAACTTGTTTCTTCCAGAACCTCTGAGTGTTGTTTCTTCCTCCATTTTAATGAATCCTATAGGACATCAGGGGATATGTTCCATTTCCTCTGTTGTAAATTCTGTTTACTGGCTGCCCCAGCTGATGGGACATTCCATGTAGTTCCCCATCAGAGCTTGCCCAGCCATGTGTCCCCAGGGCTACTCCAGCACAAGCTGTCTTGAGGCAGAGGCAGGCAGATCTGTGAGTTCAAGATCAGCCTGGTCTGGTCTACAGAGCGAGTTCCAGGGCAGCCTTGGCTACAGAGAAACCCTGTCTTGGAGAAAAAAAAAAAAGAACAACAAAGAGTTCAAGATTGTTACTATAGTTTGAGGTGTTGAGAGCCTGGGTGGGGGTGGGGTCCCAGCTGGTTCTTATGAAAACAGCATGAGATCCCGAGTGTACCCCCAAACTCCATACCCATGGGCTGCTCTCGGGTTCCGGTGTTTGCCTCTATTGCACCCACTGGGAGCGTTTGCACTGTTTCCAAGGAAAACCAGGTCTCAGCGATTCCTTTAGTACAGTGTGCAAGAGGGTTGAGAGGTGGCTCAGTGGTTAAGAGATCTTGCTGCTCTTGCAGAGGACCCTCGTTCAGTTCCCAGCTCCCACATGGCAACCCACATCCCTCTATAGCTCCAACCCCTGCCTAGAATCCCCTAGTGAGGCTGGGGCATGCAGCTGGAGCTCTGCCTAGAATCTCCTGGGGAGGGGCTGCAGGTGTGGCTGAGAACTATCCTAGTGTAAGGGCCTGGGCTCCAGACCAACGATGACAAAAAGCAAGTGTAGTTTTCAATGTGAGAATAAAGTCTGTAGGGGCTGGAGAGATGGCTCAGTGGTTAAGAGCACTGGCTGCTCTTCCAAAGGTCCTGAGCTCAATTCTCAGCAACCACATGGTGGCTCACAACCATCTGTAATGAGATCTGGTGCCCTCTTCTGGCCTGCAGGCATACATGCCGGCAGAATACTGCATACATAAGTAAATCTTATAAAATGAAGTCTGAGGTGGGAGCCATTTCAGTTTGGGAGTCTCGCTTGAGGTGTCAGCATGAAGCCTGGGTCAGGAGTGGCTTCAATTCAGGGTCTTACCCTGGTGTCTGTGGCCTCTGGGCCCTGCTGCGTGCTGTGCAGTGTCCTGGACCTGCTGCACACCAGTCACGACAGCCAGGTGTCACCCAGTGTCCCTTGACAAAATCACCTCTGGGTGAGAGCCACCACTTTAGTGAACACATTTAATTATTCTCTTAACAATTCAGATCCCAACACTAGAGGGCAGGCTATGCCCTCCACCCACACACAGAGCACCCCGCCTCATGGAAATCGTCCCTTCACAGGCAGGATGGAAAAACAGGAACTTCCAGAAGATTGGGGTGCACAGGCCGGCTAGGAGCTTGGACTCGCTTCATAGAATTTCTGGATGTCCTCCTGGTATATCTTGGTCACAATGGTCCTGTTCAACTTGGACATGGGCCCTGCGATGGAAGCAAGGCTGTGGTGAGCCCCTTGCAGAAGCCTGAGCCTCCAGAGAGCTGTGTGCATGGGAGCTGGGGCAGGAGAGAGACAGAACCCACTCCAAGGCACCCCATGAGTTCTCTCCTGCAACGGTTAAACGTAGGCATGGAGATGCCACCCCAGGGACCTTGGAATAGGCCGATCTTCAGCTAAGAGGAGAGTGTTAGGGCTGGGTTCAACGGTCCACATTTTATACAAGCAGGACTTGGATGCGGGTGATGTTTTTGAAGATTTATTTTAAATATAAGGTGTGTGTGTGTGTGTGTCTGTCTGTCTGTCTGTCTGTCTGTGTTTGCAGTGCCCTTAGAGGTCACAAGTAGACGCCAGATCCTCAGAGTTGGAGTTAACAGGAGGTTGTGAGCTGCAGTGTGTGTGTGTGTAGGCACTGGGAACTGAACTTGGGTTTGGGTCTTCTGCAAGAGCAGTTAAGTGCTTTTAACCTCTGCACCTCTGTCTGGCTCCAGATGTGGGACTGTGCTCATCTGTCCCGAGGAGGGTGTCAGATGCCATGCTCCATCACTCTCACACAGGGTCTCTCACTCAACTTTGAACTAAGCTGGTTGGCAGCAAGCCTCAGAAATCCTCCCCGTTTCTGCCCCCACAGCATGGGGTCACAGACCTGCTCCACTACACCCAGATTTTTAGAGGAGTCCCCGTGGCCCTCATGCACAAGCTCCCATAGCCACCAATCATTTCCTGAGCTCCCGATGTGTTTTGGTTTTCTTCCCAAGGTAGGGTCTCACTATGTAGCCCTGGCTATCCTGGAACTCCCTCTAGCCCAGCCTGCCTCTGCCTCCTGAGTGCTGGGATAAAGATGTGCATCACTACTTCTGGTCCCTCCTCCTCCTCCTCCTCCTCCAGACTCATTCATTGGCCTGGTGCTGGCCAAGTAGTCCAGACTGATGGTCCAGGGAGGACCAGGGAGTCTCTGGTCTCAGTCTCCCAAGCATTGGGGGATAGCTCAGTGGTTAGAGCACCTGCTGCTCTTGTGGAGGGCTTGGGTTCAGTTCCCAGCACCCATATGGTAGCTCACAACTACTTTTGACTGCAGTTGCAGGGGGTCTGGTGCCTTTGTCTGGCCTCTGTGGGCACAGGACAAACACGGCAAACATACATTCAGACAGTCATACACATAAAAATAAAATCATTTAAAAGGCAAACAGCATGCTTGCGTCGGTTTGTTTGTAACATGAGTCTGGGGAATCAAACTCAAGTCTTCATGACTGTGCAGCTCATCTTCACAGACTGAGTCGTCTCCTCAGCCCCAGGTTTGATTCTGAGACAGGATCTCTCTCACTTGGTTCCCTGGGCAGCCCTTGAACTCATGAGTCTCCTGCCTGACTCCCAAGTTCTCGGCTGACAAATGTGTCAGCCACACCTGTTTTAAGTGTGTTTTGTTGCAAAAATCAGCCAAGGCCATGTGACTACAAACCCTTCCGGTACTCGGTGGAAGCCTGGGGCTAGGAGGCCCCGAGGGTCCATGGCGCATGCCTGCCACTCACTCACCAAGCTCCCCGCCGCTAACAGAGAAATCGTTGTCTAGAATGACCCACTTAATGATTTTGGCGCCTTCCGAGGGTGCCTCCGCATTCACGTCCTGGATACCCTGGCTGATGAACTCTGTGACCAAGGGGTCACGGTCGTATAGGACGTCTGTCAGCCAGGTGGACTGGCTCCGAATCTTCCGGCAGCAGGCCACAGCCTCGCTGGTCAGGGCACTACGAGCTTCTCCAGTTTCCGGATTGATCTGACACTGTGGAGACAGTGTTCTGTGAGCATCCTTCAGGGGCCACGCCCACGGTACGTGGGTCCTCCAGGCTACAAGTGCCAGATCCCACTAGGGAGGGGCAGAGCATGCTGCTCAAAGGTCATGCAAGCCTGCAGAGCAGGCTGCTGGGAGTTGGTTCTCTCCTTCCACCATGTGGGTCCTGGGATCGAACTCAAGTTGTCAGCCTTGGCAGCAAGCACCCTTACCCACTGAGATAGTTCTCAAGCCCCGCCCATCTTCCCCTCAACCGGGCTGTGGTTGGGATCCTCAATTTGATACCTTGATGACAGTGGCCCTGTGTCCATGCTTTGAGGGACACTGGTCAACAGGGGAAGTTCTAGATCCTTCTACACTCCCAGGCACTCTGTATTCCTCCCCAGAACCAACAACCGGAGGAGTTGGGGTGTAACTCCAGGTGAAGGCTGCGTCAGGGTACATCTTCAGTGTGAGTGGACCAGGATCTAGTCACCATGAGAACCCACCCCTAGGGTGCATCTGGGTTTCCAGAGGCTTAACTGAGATGAGAGGCCCATCCTGAATGTGGGCAGGGGTCCCTGGAGCAAGCAGGGCTGTGAGGTGACTCGGGGTAAAGGCCTTGAGAGGCTGAGGACATGAGTTTCGTCTCTGGAACTGTGTACAGGTGGGAGGCTTCTGTCCCCTCTCCCACAGCCGCTCTGCCCCAAATAAACACACACAGACTTACATAAGTATAAAACATTTGGCCAGCGGCTCATTCTTATTGGCTAGCTTTGTCTTAATTATTAAGTCATTTCTATTAGTCTGTGTATTGCCACGAGGCTGTGGTTTACCCGTAATCTGGCATGTTACTCCTTGGGCAGCATGGTGTCTCTCAATGACCTCCCTCTGCCTTCCCTCCCCAGTCTTCTCCTGGTCTGGAAGCCCCGCCTATGCTTCCTGTCTGGCTACTGGCCAATAAGTGTTTCATTCATCAACCAGTAAGAGAAACATATACAGAATGCTGTCCTTTTTTTTCTTTTTTTAAAGGACTTTCATTTGTATATCAGGAAAGAACGCACTCCACAAAACAGACATCCTCACAGGTGTTGTGGTACATGGACACAGATACCCATAATAAGAAGAAAGTAAAAAAAAAAGCTGGGCGTTGGTGGCGCACCCCTTTAATCCCAGCACTCGGGAGGCAGAGGCAGGCGGATCTCTGTGAGCTTGAGACCAGCCTGGTCTACAGAGGGAGTTCCAGGACAGCCTCCAAAGCCACAGAGAAACCCTGTCTCGAAGAAATAAAAAAGAAAAAGACAAAAGACAAAAGCAAAGTGTTGTGTGTAAGTGTTTGTATGCATGTGTGCGTGGTGCGTGCAGGTCAGAGGTCAGCATCAGGGGGTGTTCCTCTGGCACTGTTTGCCTCTTAAATTTGAGGTATGGTCTCTCACTGGCCCGGAGGTTCGCTGGGATAATACAGTGTGCTCCATCGTGCTCAGCTCCACACACGTGCTCTGGAACCCAAACTCGGGTGTTCGTCGTTGCATAGCAAGCACGTTATCCATGAAACATCTCCCTTGGCCCTTAAATTGCTGCTGGTTAGGGATTCAGTCACAGTGACAAAAGCCACTAAAATGGTGACTAAGTGACTCCCATCTAGCCCATCCTCATCCCATACTGTCAGGGTCTTGCTCCGTGGGAGCCTCCCGGTACCTTCAGTGTAAGAAGGGCGCACAGGTATGGGGCATTCTGGCCCACCACCATCACGTAGCGCACAATGGGGATACGCGTCTTCACTCGCTCCTCGATGGGACTGGGGTTGATTACTTCTCCTGAGCTCAGCGTGATCAGATCTGTGGCAGGAATGAAAAGCATTTGTCTCTGAGAAGGGACATCAAGTGGCTTATCGGCCCGAGTGGGGGCAGTCCCTGGCTTCCCCTCCTGGACAGGGTGGGGCCAGCTGTGCCTGGACGGGGCGGGGCCGGCTGTGCCTTCCCTGTACAGCGTGCAGCCTGCACCTCTGTCCTCACCGCTGGTATTCCCCAAGACATAGAGGAACTTGTCGACGTCCAGGAAGCCCAGGTCATTTGTGTGCAGCCAGCCCTGGCTGTCCACCTTCTTCTTCGTGCCTTCTTTGTCATTGAGGTACCCCATGAAGATGTGGCGGCCCCACAAACACAAGTTCCCGATGTTTTCCTGGTTCTCCTTTTCCACCTTTGTGTGGGAGCTGGGAAGTGCCTTCCCAGAGCTGTGGGCATGGAGGGGACAGCAGGGCTGGCATACTCCCGCACGAGGATGGGTACCCTTGGGGCCTCCCCATCTAGTCCTCTCCTCCCACCCTTCACCAAGTCAGAACATAGCAGAGCAGAAAAACATGAATCACACTGCATTCTCGGGGTCAGACAGGCCAGCGAGGCTGGCCATCTGGGTTTGCGGTTTTAGGATTCAGCCCCAAACTGGGTGTGATGGCACATGCTTGTCATCACGGTGTTTGGGAAGCTAAAGCGATGCATTTGCTGTAAGTTTGAGGTCAACCATAGCCGTGCAGGGAGACCCCATCTCATAAACCAAATGCAACAAAGTGGGGAGGGGGCTGGGGTGCACACCTTTTATCTCAGGACTTTGGAGGCAGAGGCAGGCGGATCTCTGTGAGTTCGAGGCCAGCCCGGTCTACAGAGCGAGTTCCAGGACAGGCAGGGCTAGAGAGAGAAACCCTTCAAAACTGCTATGCCTCGCCTCATGCACAGCCCGAAGCAATATCCACAGAGGCCTGGTTTCCCAGTCTGTCTCCAGGCCGCCCGCTATGTACCGCATCTGCTTGGTACTCAGAGGGGCCTGGATCCCACCTTCCTTCACCCCCACCCCACAGAGAAATGTGATCCCAGGGACCCCTGACCTGCCGCTGTCCCCGGGGAAGACCGACCCACCCCCCGACCCACCTCAGGAGTCGGAAGGCCTGGTGACTGGACAGAGTGTGCAGTCCGCTGCACTCGGTCAAGCCGTACATATCAAAGATGGGGATGTCCAGGCTGAGGAAGAAGTCCATCGTGGTCCTCGGCAGCCCCAAGCCCAGGTTCAGGAACTGCTGGCAATGCTTGAGACCCAGGAACTTCCTGGCAGGGTCGAAGGTCAGCTTTTTGGCCAAGCCAAAGCACAGCGGCTGGTGGATCTGTCTTTAGAAGCGGAGCGATGGCCAAGTGTGACCGTTGCCACGCCCCTGGGTCGCCTTCTGCCGGGTCTCCACCGCCCCGCCCGGCTCCCAGCGCCCCTGCCCCGTCTGCCCCGTCCCCGCCCCCCCCACCCCGGGGTCCCCAGCGCCCGCCGTACCCGAGCAGCCGCCTCCTGTTGGTGTTGAGCCCTAAGCTCATAGCCCAGCGGTCAATCCTCCTGCGGAAGGCGGTGGAGTCCAGCTGTTTGGTCTTCAGGCTGTCCAGCATGCGGTCCCACACCCAGGGGACGCCGCAGAACGTGGTGGGCTGGACCTCGCGGAGCATCTCCGTCAGGAAGCCCTGCATGGGGCGGGATGGGGCGCAGGGGGACCTCCATGCACTCCGAGTACATGAGGCGGGAAACTTCAGCTTGGGTCCGAGGACAACGCGAGTAACAGACAGAGCCACGCCACAGAGGCGCCTGCCCTCCAGTGGGGGAGCAAAGAAGAGAGGGCCAGAAAAGGGCGAGCCGAGACTGGCGGGCAGGGGGAGCGCTCTAGCCGCCCGCCCCCCTACCATCGTCACTTCGCCCCTAGCTCACATCTGCCACAGCTGGCACAGAGTCAGTGAAGGATCCCGGCCCCCTGTCCTTTGCTGACCACATCTGGCCACAGTCGCTCTCACCCCCAGAGCTCACCGTGCCAGGGGCTCGTGCTGGCCCGTTCCACTTCGCTGCCTCTGGCGAGGGGAAGTAGACTGTTCCAGCCACGGAGATGGCCACCCAGACATCCAAGATCTGGGCCCCGGCGAAACAGAGCGGCAGGTAGCTCACGAGGACCTCCTGGCCATTGGGTGGACACTTGTACCCCAGGCTCTGAACAGCGGCCGCTGTGGTCCACGTGATCTGCAAGACACCTCACGAAGTCAGGCCTAGGTTCTTAGTTCCAGCATCCTCCGCACTGGGCCAGTCCCTGCGGGAGCGCCACTCACGTTGTCGTGGCTGAGCATTGTGGCCTTTGGGACCTCGGAGGTACCCTGGTTGTATACCAAAGCACAGCACTGGTTAGGCTTCTGTGAGTCGATGACTTGGTCCAGTTTTTCATCTGAGATGCCGTCTGCGAGGTCCAAGAAGCCTTTCCACTGCAGAAAGGCTGGCCACTGAATGGGCTTTGGAGGAGTCGAGGCTGCCCCAGAGACCCTCCCAGCCCAGCCACCTGAGCTCCACCCGTGCACCGGAATGTTAGTCATGAAAAGGAAAGCCGTTTGATACATGCTCCAGAATGAACTTCGGGAACGCAATGCCAGGCACATAAGGACACACACTAAAGAACTCCCGTGTCACCCAGCACCAGGCTCGGCCTCCGGGTCTGGCTGGTTTTCCATCTCTGACCCCCCTGTCCGGGCATACCGAGTATAGATTTGGCTGTACTTCCTGGATGTCTTCTCTGTATTGTATGATGGCCTTGAGATGCTTCAGGTAGCCCTGGATCTGCAGAACACCGTGGGGTCAGCACCAGCAAATGGGGAGGGGGAGGGGCTCCTGTAGCTCAGGCTGAACTCAAACTCACTATGTAGTGGAAAGTGGCCTTGAAATCCTGACTGGCCTTACTACCACAGACAGTTTCTGTGGTGCCAGGGATGGAACCCAGGGCCTCATCCATGCCAGGCAAGCTCTGTGCCCACTGAGCTCAGCCCTAGTGTTCTTTTCGTTTATTTTGAAATTTTATCTTAGGTGCATTGGCGCATTGGTATGTTGCCTGCATGTATGTCTGTGTGATGGTGTCAGATCCCCTGGAACTGGAGTTGCAGCTGCTCCTGAACCACTGTGTGGGTGCTGAGAACCGAACCTGGCCCTCTGCAAGAGCAGCCAGCAGAATGCCGCAAGTGCTCTAAGTGCTGGGCCTGGCCTTCAGCCCTGCCCCAGGGTTTGTATGAGTGTTGTACACATGTGTGCCACAAGAGGGCACCAGATCTCATTACAGATGGCTGTGAGCTACCATGTGGTTGCTGGGAATTGAACTCAGGACCTCTGGAAGAGCAGCCAGTGCTCTTAATCAGTGAGCCATCTCTCCAGCCCTCCGCCTCCCCCAGTGTTCTTAACATGTGAAAATACAGGATTATTCCATTTTAAACCATTCAATTTTCTATTTCATGGCATGGAGCCTCATGTACACCAGAGGTGCTCCACAGCTGAGACTCACCCTCCCTCATTTTTACCATTCATTTTTGATGCATGTATGCGTGTGTGTGTGCATGAATGTACATGTTCACACATGCATGGAACTGCTGTTCTCCTCTGCTGCTCCCCACCGTTAGAAGTTTTTTAATTTAGTGCTCTTACTGTGTATGTGAAGCAGGCATGTGCGTCCCAGACCCCACAGACCGAAGAAAGTCCCACTAGCCCACTCAAGCTTGTGGCTCTGGTAGCCCTTGCCCTTCCCCCGACCCTCTGCCTTGAAAAAAAAAAAGCCAAACATTAGATTGTATTCCTAAAGCTACACACCAAGGTCTATTCCTTTATTTGGCCACTTCCTCTTCCTGTGGCTGACTGCCAAGGCTCAACTTTCAAAGTATTGAAGTCCAGCAACCAGAAACCCACTGTGGCTCACCTAATAACATGCCCATTTGAAATTAAACATTTCATCCTAACACAGGGCTTCCCATTTGTACCTTTACGAACGGCCATTTCCCTTTAAGGCATGCCTGTCTCCTTGCTTTGTCCTCCAGGACAAATACCCCTGCCCCCTCTCCCTCGTTCCTTCCCTTCCCCTTCTCCCCCGTCCTCTCTCTCCTGTCTTTGTCTCTTATTCCCTGCCGTCTGTCCCTCTGCGCAAACAAATACCCTTTGTGTGAGAACCTGGTCCTGCGGTGTCTGGTGCAGACACCGGCCCTTTCACTGGGAGCACCCCAGGCCCCACACACCCAGAGACTCACCTGGTTAACCTTCTGCAGCTGTCTGTCGTTATCCACCACAAAGATGTCCATCTCTGCGGCCTCGGCAATGACCTGGCAGGCTTTGGGTGAGATACTGCACAGGATGCCCACGGAGATGCCCCTGGAAGCAGAATACAGGAGCTGACGTCCTAGTGAGGGAGGGCTTTGGGGAACTTGGGGGTCTTCACACCCTCTTAGAAGGTGGGACTCAGGGGAACCCCTTTCAAAGCTCCCACAAATGTTCCATGTGAGTATAGGGAGGGCATTGAAAGAAACACGTCTGTCTAGAGGAGGGGGCATCAATGTTGGGCTCCAAGGGATGTGTCTGAGTTTTATGGGGGAGTGATGGAAGGGAAAAATGAGCATGCTAGACTGTTGTTGACAAACCCTGTCAACACTGAACTCTAGCCCATGTGCGCTCCCTGAACTGAAAGAACCCAGCTGGTTTCCACAGAGGCAAGGCCTCAAGAAACTCCAAGGACAGGCTGGGGCCCTTACCCTGCCATGATGGCTCCAATGTTGGCAATCACCCACTCTGTGGAGTTGAAGCCCATGATACCCACACCATGGAAGCGCTCCAGACCCACCTGAGGGAGGAGAGACCTTTGAGATTCGATGTCATCACCCTAACTTCACAGAAATCTTTGTTTGCTTGCTTGTTTTTTCCAGACAGGGTTTCTCTGTGTATCTTTGGAGCCTGATCTGGAACTCTCTCTGTAGACCAGGCTGGCCTTGAACTTTGTAGACCAGTCTGGCCTCAAAGTCACAGAGATCCTCCTGCCTCTGCCTCTGCCTCCCAAGTGCTGGGATTAAAGGCATGTGTCACCATCATCCGGCTCACGGGAACCTTTAGATGAGAATCTCAGTCTCCTTCTCTGGACCATTTGGACCAGCTCCAGGTGCCACATGGTAGTGATGCTAAGCAGAATGTCTCCACCACACTCTTGTTACCCATCCGCCCACCTGCCTGTCATCCAATACATGCTGTCAATCTACCACCCACTCACCCACCCACCCACCCATCCACCCAGCCACCCGCTCATCCACCTGCTCACCCACCCATCCATTCACCCACCCACTCCCCCACCTATCTGTTCATCCACCCCTCCACCCACCCACCCACCTGCCTACCCATCAACCCACCCCACCCACCTGTCCACCCACCCGCCCATCTGTTCATCCACCCACCCGTCCACCCACCCACCCACCTGTCCACCCACCCGCCCATCTGTTCATCCACCCACCCGTCCACCCATCCATCTGTGATGCCTCCCCACCACACCGGGCTGCATCTTTTGCACAGAATGTGCCCCCTGGCCCAGAGCCTTTGCATGCGCTGTGCCTTCGGCTTGGTGTACTCCTCCCTAAACTTCCCGGTAACTCCTCCCCACTTGGCTGAATTTCACTGCTGTGAAGCACTCCTTGGCTACCAGTATAAGTCTCCACCCCCGCCTCCTGCTCTTTCTTCCTCCCTTTCTTCAGCAGGCTTTCTTTTATGCCCTTCCCTAATCTAAAGGATAGACATTTACAACTTTTTTATTGTTTTATGTATGTGGGTGCTTTGCCTACATTTGGGCCTGGGCACCACCGCGTGCACATGCAGAGCCAGAAGCCGAATCGGGTCCCCTGGAGCTGGAGTGACAAGACAGTTGTGAACCACCATGTGGGTGCTAGGATCCGATGCGAGGGCAGCCGGCGCTCTAACAGCTCGCTCTGCCACATCCCCAGCTCCTGTTTCAATATGTTGTATGTAGGAAAGCATACAGTATTCACACCACGCATATGCCCTGTGTGAAAGCGTTCCGGTTTGTGAATATGCACACTCTAGATTTCAATATTTACACGAATGTATTTAACTGTGTGGTATGACGCAGTACACTTGGGATACACTCGAAAAAGCTCTGCATTTGCAGGCACGTGCGAGATTAAAAGACACAAAATACGTATTTACACAGAAACTGTCCTCAAGGTCTAAGCACACACACAAAATGCACGGTTGACATGCAGGATGAATCTCGTGCGTGGGGAAACTGAGGCACAGAGCCGCAAGCGGGTCACGTGGCCAACGGCGGCACAAATGAGCTCCAGGAATCGCCTGGTCCCGCACCGCCCAGGGCGCGGGCAGGGTGCGCGTGCGCGGGCGGGGCAGCGCAGTTGCGCACGCGCGGGCACGCTACCTTGAGGAAGGCCTTGGCGGCCCGCCGGCAGGCCTCGTAGTACTCGATGTAGGTGAGCAGTTGCCAGCTCTTCTTGTACTTGGAGCCTATCGCCAGGTAGTGCGAGTACTTGGTGGCCGCGCTCATGATCATGTCGGGCACTGTGACCGGAGGCTCGTTCTCTGAGTTCTTGCCCAGGCGCAGCTTCACTTCCCCGTCGCGCTCCGAGGTCCAGTAGCAGCTCTCGGCTGCAGGGTCAGGGCTCACTCCGTCGGATGGGTCCCCTGGGAGGACAGCGGTCAGTGTCCCCGGCGCAGGAGGACGTGGGGTCGGAGGCCATCTCCCCCAGGAGGATAGAGGTCAGAGGTCACTGCCCCCGAGAGGACGGGACAAAGGACGGGGGTGATGGCGACAGTCTCCTGACCCACGGGAGGGAGGAAATCGAGTCGTGGTGACCGCAGCCATCGGTCGATGAGGCTTGGGTGCTGGGCCACATGGCCACAGCTACCACCCTTCCCCTGGAACACCTGCTCCTCCACGAGGTCCTCACCGGCACTGGACCGGTGCCCCTCCACTACCTGTCCCAGGAAGTGTGCGGGAGTGCCACCCTCTCCCAGCACCCGGGGTGGGGGTCCCCCACCTGGGGCCTTTGTCTCTGCGACCGGAGGTCTTTGTGTGGTTGTCTTCTTCAAGATTGTGCTGTAAATACCGGTTGTCAGGATGTTTTTTGGTGCCAGGATGGGCTGGGTACGTTCAGGGCCACCTTGTTCCTTGGGGTCAGACATCCCCTTGACAGAGACAATGCACACAGGTGTTCACCCAGGGGTCAGCAGTACCCGGTAGGATGCCTGACCTCTCGGAGCGGAGTGGACAGCGGTGGGGTTGGCTGAGCAGAGAAGAGGACCTACAGAGCAGCTGCGGGTGCTGGCACAGGGAGCTAACCCAAGCGGGTGTCAGGGAGAATGTTCCCGTGTGTGCATGTGAGAATGTTCCTATGTGTGTGGTGTCAGGGAGAATGTTCCCGTGTGTGCATGTGAGAATGTTCCTGTGTGTGTGGTGTCAGGGAGAATGTTCCCGTGTGTGCATGTGAGAATGTTCCTGTGTGTGTGGTGTCAGGGAGAATGTTCCCGTGTGTGCGGTGTCAGGGAGAATGTTCCCGTGTGTGCATGTGAGAATGTTCCTGTGTGTGTGGTGTCAGGGAGAATGTTCCCGTGTGTGCGGTGTCAGGGAGAATGTTCCCGTGTGTGCGGTATCAGGGAGAATGTTCCCGTGTGTGCGGTGTCAGGGAGAATGTTCCCGTGTGTGCGGTGTCAGGGAGAATGTTCCCGTGTGTGCGGTGTCAGGGAGAATGTTCCCGTGTGTGCGGTGTCAGGGAGAATGTTCCCCGTGTGTGCGGTGTCAGGGAGAATGTTCCTGTGTGTGCGGTGTCAGGGAGAATGTTCCCGTGTGTGCATGTGAGAATGTTCCCGTGTGTGCGGTGTCAGGGAGAATGTTCCCTGTGTGTGCGGTGTCAGGGAGAATGTTCCCGTGTGTGTGGTGTCAGGGAGAATGTTCCTGTGTGTGCGGTGTCAGGGAGAATGTTCCTGTGTGTGCGGTGTCAGGGAGAATGTTCCCTGTGTGTGTGGTGTCAGGGAGAATGTTCCCGTGTGTGCGGTGTCAGGGAGAATGTTCCCGTGTGTGCATGTGAGAATGTTCCCGTGTGTGCGGTGTCAGGGAGAATGTTCCCGTGTGTGAGGTGTACAGGCGTGTGGAGCCCAGAGGCTGTCTTCCTCAGCTGCATAGTCCACCGCCCCCCTCCCCACACGAACCTGCTGCCAGTGAGAACCTGGGACCCTTCTTGCAAGTGTGTGCTGCCACACCCAGCCTTTAGGGGGTGGGAACTGAGCTCAGATCCCCTGTGTGTGTGTGTGTGTGTGTGTGTGTGTGTGTGTGTGTGTGTGTGTGTGTGTGAATTAGTTCAAGGGTAACCTGGGCTACAAGAGACCCTGGGGAGGAGAGCAGCAGGGAGGGGAGAGGCATTAAGGAGGCAAGATTATGGTGTTTCAGTACCTTCCGTGCCTAGCTGCCAGGAGCTTCTGGAGAGAGGCTGGGGTGCATCCAGCCCTCAGCACTCCCTCTCCTCCACAGGCTCTCACTGCTTTGTCATTGGGGGGGGGCAGTGGTGATTCCTGTCCAGCTCTGTCACCACCTCCCTCTCTAGTCACAGGGACAAGAGCACCCAGACTGGCTCCAGGCATGCCCTTCTATACTCCAGCCCTTGTGACATCACTGTATTCCGTGAGCCAGGGCCACAATGGCAATGTGACCCAATGCCCCTCTAAAAGAGGGTGGCTCTGGGAGACAGGGACAGGTGCAACAGAGGAGACTTTGCTAATGGCCGCCAGCCAGGGTGCTCCCAGGGTGCTGGTCCCCAAAGAGCTGGAGGTCCGGTAGCCTGAGGGACTCCAGTGTCCCAAGGGCAGATTGGCTTACAGAAGACCCTGTGTCAAAATACTAAAAATAGAATGACCTTGTGATCTGGATTCCCCCTTCTGGGCATTTGCTAGAAACCATTGGAAGAAGGAATTGGAGTTGTCACACATCCATATCCACATTTCAGTGGTTCCTGCCCCGTGCTCAGGATGAGAGAGGGAGGTGTGGGCTCTCCGGTCTGCAAGAGGACTCTAACGGACACCCACCCCAGGAGGAACCACGACGATACAGTGAAATGTGCCAGATGAGGACACATGCCCCAGGGGCCACTTGTAGGCCCTGAGAGCAAGTTGCAGGATGGGCTTGGTGGGGACCTGGGAGGGTATGGGGGTTGGGACAGTGCTGAGCTGGGCAGAGCTTCCGTATGGGGAGAGGGAAGCTTCTGGCACTGGACGGTGGAGAGGTTACACAGTGTGAATGCATGTTTTGTTTGCGTGAGGCAGGACCTCACATAGCCCGAACTACCTTTGAACGCCCTGTTGTCCAAGGATAACCTTCAACTCCTGATCCTCATGACAAGACATATGCCACCACGCCCAATTCATGTGACTCTTGGGATGGAACCCAGGTCTTGTGCATGCTGTGTGCAAGCCCTAACCATTGGCCTACAGTCTCAGACACGATGGTGGGTGTTTTGTTTGTGTGTCTATGTGTGGTGTTTGTGTGTCTGTGTATATGTGTCTGTGTGTCTGTGTGTGTGTCTGTGTGTGGTGTTTGTGTGTGTGTGTGTCCTGTGTGGTGTTTGTGTCTGTGTGTGGTGTTTGTGTGTCTGTGTGTCTGTGTGTGGTGTGTGTGTGTGGTGTTTGTGTGTGTGTCTGTGTGTGTGTGTGTCTGTGTGTGTGTGTGTGGTGTGTGTGTGTGTGTCTGTGTGTGTGTGTCTCTGTGGTGTTTGTATGTGTGTGTGTCTGTCTGTGTGTGTGTGTCTGTCTGTCTCTGTGTCTGTGTGTGTGTGTCTGTCTGTGTGTGTGTGTGTGTGTGTCTGTCTGTGTGTGTGTGTGTGTGTGTGTGTGTGTGTGTGTGTGTGTGTTAGGGCTCCCAGCAGGTACTGGAGTGGGCCTGCCCCATGTCACTCATATTTCTATCCAGTGTGATGCACAATGCCCGGCACTGGAGCTGCATAACAAACAAACCAGAAACAGAAACCTCACAAAAGCATGCAAATGTATGAATGAGTGTTGCAATCTTTTTTTTTTTTTTTTTTTTGGTTTTTACGAGACAGGGTTTCTCTGTATTGTTTTGGAGACTGTCAGTCCAGCCCGGCCTCGAACTCACAGAGATCCGCCTGCCTCTGCCTCCCGAGTGCTGGGATTAAAGGCATGCGCCGCCGCCGCCGCCCGGCAAGTGTTGCAGTCTTAAAAACTCCACGAAGAGAAGTATCACCATACAACAGGACTCACATCGGGGTTTATTGGAAGAGGGGAGAGAAGGGGCAGAGAGGGGGCCAGAGACTGGTCCTCGGGGGCAAGAGGAAGAGAGATGGGGAGAAAGAGAAAGGAATGACGGGAGGTGGGCAGGGCCTTTGAAAGGGAACTTGAAAGTGTACAGGCAAGGCTCTTAGTGGCTGCAGCTGAGGGTGTATCCCGTCAGAACCCCAAAGGCAGGCCAGTGCAGTGCCTGAATACTAACAAGGAGTGGGTGGATGAATGAATGAACGAATGAATGAATGAATGAATGGGTGAATAGATGAGTAAGTACATTGGTAAGCGAATGAATGGCTGAATGATGGGTGAAGGGAGCCCATGTTCCCGCTTCCCTGGAAGCGCTTTCCTCATGAGGCTGGGTGCAGGGGAGGATGGCCAGTGATGTCACAAGGGTGGTCTGAGTAGAAGGTTCCAGAAGCTTGATGGGGCAGAAGCCCTGTGGGACAGGAAAAACCCCATCTACCTCCGTCCCTCCCTCCACCATCCCTGTCACCCTGGCTAGACTGAGGGGGTGACCAGTGCTTCTGGGACGACCCCCCCTGCTGACCAGCTCTGTGCAAGAAGAAATACCTTGGAGACCAGATGTGTCCACTTGTGACACCCGGCCCCCTGGGCCAGAGCCGCACTTTGTGAAGGGTGATGTTTGGTAAGGTTCCCGAGGCCATCTCTGTGTGGAGCCCATGACCCTTTCAAAACTGAGCCCACACTTAGGGACGACAGAGGTTTAGTTTCTCCCCATGGAGAGAAGATGGCCTTGAACTCCTGATCCTCTGGTACTTGCTGCACGGATGTGAGTTCAGGTTCCTAGACCCACGTAAAAGCTGAACCTGGTAGGGCTCTTCTGAACCCCCAGCGCCTGGTGTCAAACGGGGTGGCAGATGCTGTGACAGTGTGCATTTTCACAGTGTCTGAGGGAGCACACAGTCCACTTTGTGTATGTGTGTGGAAGCCAGAGGTCAACTTTGGGTGCAGTCCCTCAGGCCCTGTTGATCCTGAGTTTTGAGAGCATCTCTCACAGAAACAGAAGCTTGCTGAGTGGGTCGGATGGCTGCCGGGGAGCCCCAGCAATGCTCCTGTACCAGCCTCTCCAGAGCTGGGTTACAGGTGCACACGCCACACCGCCACCTGGATGCTGCTGTGTCAAACTCAGGTCCTTGTGCTTGTACAGCACACATTTGCCCACAGAAACATCTCAGGTCTTGCTTTTGAACTATATTTTCTTTTGTTTCTAGACAGGGTTTCTCTATGTAGCCCTGGTATCATGAAACTAACTCTGTAGACCAGGCTGGCCTCGAACTCAGAAGTTTGCCGCCTCTACCTCCTGAGTGCTGGGATTAAAAGTGTGCGTCACCACTGCCCAGCAGTTTTCTATGTTCTTAACCTTGTGGAAAATTAGAATGCTTTGATTATTGTAAATTTTAAAGAGCAGGTCCGACTACATGGCTCAGCTGTCCCCCTGTGGCCACAGCATGCACCTACGCCTAGCTGCAGAGGCTTACATTTGTTTTATTGTTGTGTGTGTGTGCTTTCGTGTGCACGTGTGCCACTGCACACATGAAGAGGTCATAGGACAACTTGGGGCAGTTGATTCTCTCCTATCACGTGGGTCCAAAGGATTGAACTCAGGTCACCAGTCTTGACTTCTTGTTTCCTGATGAGCTGTCTGCATGGCCCAATGATAAAAGGATGGATAGAAGGAACGGGGAGAGGAGGGAGGGGAGATGTCTGTGAAGACCTCACCATTGAACACCCCCTAACTTAGAAGTCAGGCCTGACTCAAGCAATCCCCAGCACAGGTCAGGCAGACATCACCAGGGATGGAGGTCTACCCCTCTGCTGTTCCTGACAAACCTAATCTGTTTCCCTCATTGATTCGTCACCTGTGGCCCTACAGCATTTTGACGGATGCTTCTTGGGATCCAGAGAGGCTGAACCACCAATGGCTCAAGAAAAGAAGGTGGAGGAGCCTGACAGAAGCACGGACATCACCCCAGGTCTGTGGTGGCCAGGGAGCACCAGGGAGTGGGGGGACACTTGCCCCACAGTGCCACCTGGCCATCTTGGCCAAGTGTGCCTGGCCTGCCTGGCTGTTGTGTTCTTCCTGGTGGGCAGTTTGGAGTTCAGTCACTTAGATTACAGGTGACAACTAGGGGTCGTTTGTCCTTTGGGAAACTCACGTACATATTATCTACTTTCTGGTGTTACAATAAGACATCCAGGCAAAAGAGACCTAACGGGGGATTAAGTCAGGTGGGTAACACCACACCCTAGTCATGCTCAGGACCCTCGACCTAGAGAGTTCCTCACTGAGCCTCTTCCAGGCAATTTGAAATAATGGCAGTTAACAAAACTAATCACATAGGTACATTTTTAAAAGTCTTTTTGTTTTTTTGAGACGGGGTTTCTCTGTGGCTTTGGAATCTGTCCTGGAACTCACTCTGTAGACCAGGCTGGCCTTGAACTCACAGAGATCCACCTGCCTGTGCTTCCCTAGTGCTGGGATTTAAAGGTGTGCCACCAAAGCCCAGCCTCATAGGTACTTTTATGTTTTCTTTTGCTTTTTCTTTCATTTTTTTTTGGGAGGGTGGTTTTTTGAGACAGGGTTTCTCTGTGTGTCCCTGGCTGTCCTGGAACTCACTCTGTAGACCAGGCTGACCTCAAACTCACAGAGATCCTCCTGTCTCTGCCTCCCGAGTGCTGGGATTAAAGGCGTGCCACCAATACCCGGCTCACAAATACTTTTTTAAAAAAGATTACATGGGGTGGAAAGATGGTCTGGTGGGTAAGATCACTAACTGCTCTTCCAGAGGGCTTTGGTTCCATTCTCAGAACCATGTGATGGTCCAGGATGGTCTCTAACTACAACAGATTCCCCTGGTCTGAGGCTCTTGCTCACCTCCATGGGCACCAACCACACGCTGGTTCACAGACACAACGTGCAAACAAAACATCCTTGCACATAAAACTTGAAAAAAGATTGTATGTGTGTGTGCATGCATGCATGCATGTTCATGCATTTCCATGTATGATCACACACACCCACACCATGGAGAGTTGGCAGCACCTCTGTGCTAAGATGGTGCTCATGTGGGTGACATCCCAGGAGCCACTCCTGTAGATGACACGGATAAGTGTTAGTGACTTGTGGTCACTATGCAGGGACCTGAGCAGACCTGAAGGTGAACTGAACATCTTTGCTCAGAGGAGAGCGTGTGAGAGTGGCAGCTTGGGTGACCCCTTCTCCAGCAGTCTCGACCTTGTGAAAACATGTCTTGGGGCTTTGGAGATGATTTCTCAAGAATGGGTACCTGAGTTTGACCCCCGAGCCCATGGGAAGGCTAGATGTGGTGGCTCTGGATTTTGGGAAGCAGAGACAGGAGGATCCCTGGGAATCCCTGGCTCCAGCCCAGCCAGTCAGGGAGTTTGGGTTCAATGAGAGACCCTGCCTCAAAACACAAGGTGGAGAGCAACTGAGGAAGACACGGATGTTGACCTCTGGCCTCCATGTGCGCCTGTGTATATACACACATCCATACACACTGGTTCCTACAGATGTATGTACACACACACAAGTATACACACATAAGCACATAAACATAACGTACATTCACATAACATACACACTGGTTCCTACAGATGTATGTACACACACACAAGTAGACACACATAAGCACATAAACATAATGTACATTCACATAAACACACTCATGAGCATCAACAAGCACAGATACAAACTTACACCTGCACAGATACGCATACACATACTGTTGGTTGTGTGTCACCCCGCATTGTGTGACAACAAAGACTTTCCCCAAGGAGACATGACATACACATCCACTCACCCCAGTAGGGAGCCCACAGCAGAACAAAGTATGGACACCACCAAAGTCCCACTTGGTGAACCGTGAGCTTTACTGGAGTCACTGACAGGCACATGGATGAGGGGAGACAACTGTGTCACCAAGGCTCACCCCAGCACGGGTGACAGCTCATGGAGCTGGGAATCTGGAGGCACTGAACAGCCTTCAGGCCACACAACAGGCTGGAGAGCTCCCTTCCAGGTCCCTCAGCTGGTCTGAGCCTCTTCCAGGCAGCTCAGTAACTCTGAAAGCATGCCTCAGCAGTTGTTAGCAATTATATACATCTGTGGAGTGCGTTAGCTAGAGTCTGGGTTGTTGGGATAAACACCATCTAAAAGCAAGTTGGGGAGGAAAGAGTTTGTTTAATCTTGTAGCTCATAGTCTGTCATGAGGGAAAGCAGGGCCGGAGCTGAAACAGAGGCCATGGAGGCTCTGCTTATTGGCTCACCCCGGCTTGCTCAACGTGTTTCCTGCACCACCCAGGAAAGCCTGCCCAGGGTGGTGTCACACCCCATTGGCTGGTCCTCCCTCACCATTTGTCAGTCTAGGAAGTGCACCTCAGGCTTGTCTACACTCTAATCTGATGGGGGCTTTTTCTCAGTCCAGGCTCCTCTCCTAGACAAAAACCAACCAGCACGCAGAGGGAGGAGCTGGTGAACCAGCCAGTTTCAGGGACTTCCTGAAGGTTCTGAATTGTTCTGAGCATTCTTGGCATGGTGGAGTGTTTTGATCTGGGGGGAGGGGAACTTCTACTACAGGACACTTGCAGCCCCCCTCCAGCTTGCAGTTCATGTCCATGGCTGTTGCTGATGCTCTGTGGCTGAGGCCTCCCCTCTGACCTTCTCTGATCCTTGGTGCATTGGTTACTTTCAGTGGTGCGATGACACCCTGACCAAAGGCAACTAAGGAAGAGGCTTTATCTGGGGTGTGGCTCGGAGGACAGAGTCCTTGATGGTGGGAGGGACAGCAGCAAGCAGCAGGCATGACAGCAGGAACCAGAGCTGAAAGCTTGCATCTGGAACCACTGGCAGGAAGCAGAGAGCAAAGTAGAATTAGCATGGGGCTTAAAAAAAGATTTATTTGTTATGTGTGCAGTGATGCATGCCTGCAGGACAGAAAGGACACCAGATCTCAGTACAGATGGCTGTGAGCCACCAAGTGGTTGCTGGGAACTGAACTCAGGACCTCTGGAATAGCAGCCAATGCTTCCAACCTCTGAGCCATCTCTCCAGCCCAGTATGGGGCTTTTTAATCTCAAAGCCCGCCCCCCTGTGACATGCTTCCTGCAGCAAGGCCATGTCTAACCACACACACACACACACACACACACACACACACACACACACACACACACACACACACAACAGCTCTAGAAATAGGGACCAAGTATTCAAATGTAAGTGCCTATGGGGACCATTCTCATTCAAACCACCCAAGAAATCAAACAGGAACTCAAGCAGGGCAGGAACTTTGGAGGCAGCAGCATCTCTCAAGCCACAGAGCAAGAATCTACAGTTCATTCACCCTTGCATCCCTTGTCCATTCAAAGCCAGCACCATGTAAACTGTGCTACCAGCTTGGGATGGGCTCCGGCCCCTTGGACCACAGGGCCTGCATTTTTTTTCCAGTTGCTTCCCAGGAGCATAGATGCCCTCAGGAGTTGGAGGTTAGCTGGGTGGGGTTTGCCCTGAGGGCCCTCCCCTACATTCCAGTGCATGGCCAGCCCCTCTCCCCTGCACTCCAGTTCAGGGCCAGCCCCTCTCCCCTGCATTCCAGTGCAGGGCCAGCTGCTCTCCCCTGCATTGCAGTGCAGGGCCAGCTGCTCTCCCCTGCATTGCAGTGGAGGGCCAGCCTCTCTCCCCTGCACTCCAGTGGAGGGCCAGCCCCTCTCCCCTGCATTCCAGTGCAGGGCCAGTCCTCTCCCCTACATTCCAGTGGAGGGCCAGCCCCTCTCCCCTGCATTCCAATGCAGAGTCAGCCCTCTCCCCTGCATTCCAGTGGAGGGCCAGCCCCTCTCCCCTGCATTCCAATGCAGAGTCAGCCCTCTCCCCTGCATTCCAGTGCAGAGTCAGCCCTCTCCCCTGCATTCCAGTGCAAGGCCAGCCCTCTCCCCTGCATCCCAGTGCAGGGCCAGCCTCTCCTCCAGCACCATCAACTCCCTGTGCTCTTTTTCTCTGCACACTCTATGTTTTGAAATTCTTGCTACCCCGTTGCTCTTCTTCACTGTAGACCTTCATAAGAGCGGCCTCTCTAAGAAGACAGAGCCAACGCTATGCTTAAAGCCCCCTGCAACAAAGAAAGGAGCTCATTACTTTAAAATTGTTTTTCATTTTCTTTTATGTTGTGGGTGTTTTGTTTGCATGCACACCACTTGTTACAGTGTAGGCAGAGGAACCTCCCAGTCTGGGCATTTGCCCTCCCATCTCCAGCTGGTGATGCAGAAGTGAGTCACATGGTCAGGGTTTGAGACAGAAAAGCCCCGTGCTACCCCAGGATGCCCCTGCTTCTTTACACAAAAGGTCCCAACACACGGATCAGTCTTGCTTCAAGACCTCATGCGTGAGATCTAACTGGCCGTGAATCCCTCTTTATTCTTATTTTTAATGTTTTATGTGCATTGGTGTGAGGATGTCAGATCCCCTGGAACTGGAATTACAGACAGTTGTTGGCTGCCACGTGGATGCTGGGAATAGAACCTGGGTCCTCTGGAAGAGCAGCCAGTGCTCTTACTGTTGAGCCATCTCTCCGACCCTGTGAATACCTCTTTAATTAAAAAAAATCATTCCTTAAAACTCCCCCCACACCACAATTAATGTTTCAAGATGATTAGCAGTGGTTCTCAGCCTGTGGTTCACGACCCCTTTGGGATTCAAATGACCCTTTCACAGAGGTCACCTAAGACCATGGGAAAACGCAGATATTTTACATTATGATTCATAACAGTAGCAAAATTACAGTTATGAAGTAGCAAGGAAAATAACTCCATGGTTGGGGGTCACCGCAACATGAGAGTCTGTATTAAAGGGTCTCACTCAGCATTAGGATGGTTGGGAACCACTGGGAACTCATTGTATCTAAACCACAGTGCACAGATGTCCCATGATCCTCTTGTCTGATAGTCTTTGTCAGTTCCTGTGTGTGTGTGCACGCACGCGCGTGCGCGCATCCTAGTGTACCCACAAGCATGTGGAGGTCAAGAGGCAATGCTAGGTGTCTTCCTCAGCCACTCTCCTATGCATGCATGTATGCATGTATGTATGTATGCATGCATGTATGCATGTATGCATGTATGCATGTATGTATGTATGTATGTATGTATCTATCTATGTATCCATCTGTCATCTGTGTCTACATCCATCCATCCGTCTATATCCATCAATTTACCTGTCTGTCTGTCTACATCCACATCTGTTTGTCTGTCTGTTTGTCTGAACCAGTGGTTACAGGCCCACCATGCTGCTCTTGGGATTTTGTTTTGTTTGTGTGCTTGTTTTAACCTGGGCACACAGGACCTGCGTTCATGTCCTCATGCATGCACAGCAGGCTCTCGCTGACCAAGCCTGCTCGTACCGCCTGAGACCTGAGCTGATAAACAGGAGGCAATGTGTCTGGCTCCTTAAAAAAAATTGTATTTATTTGTCTGGTTTTGATGGTAGGGCATACCACTGTGTACATGTGAAGGTCAGAGGGCAACTTGCAGGAGCCAGCGCTCTCCTTGTCCCGCGGGCTTCCAGGGGCTTGGACTCAGGTCCGCTTGGTGACAGCACCTCTAGCCATTGAGCCTCCAACATTTGGATGGAAATCCCGCTGGGGGCTGGAGATGCTGTTCGGTGGTTAAAAGTGCTCGCTGTGCCCTCCTCTGGCCTTAGTAGGCACTGCAGGTGCACACGGCACAGGCATGCATTCAGGCGAAACACACACATCAATAAGTCAATGTAAAAATGTCCTGAAGGCCAGGTAGTAGTATAATTTCAGCACTCAGGAGCCAGAGGTAGGCAGATCTCTGTGAGTTCAAGGCCAGCATGGTCTTCAGAGCGAGTTCCAGGGCAGCCAAGGCTACACAGAGAAACCCTGTCTCAAAAAGAAACCAAAGCAGAAAAAGCGAAAACTGTTTTGAAAACGCGCATGAGGGTTGAGGCTGTGGCTCGGCTATAGAGCTTTGGCCTAGTATATAAGAGCCGGAAGTCCACCTCAGCACCACCCACACCCGCCTGTGACTCTTACAGCTCCTCCCAAGCTGTGGAGCACTCATTGTGATGAAGAGGTGCTCCTGAGGCTCTCCAGACATGGGCCTGGCCACGAGACCCCGATGACAATTCCCGAGCTCTTTCAGGAGTCTGTCGAGCGATTTGGTGCTTACCCAGCTCTGGCCTCGAAGAACGGCAAAAAGTGGGACACGCTGACATTTAGTCAGTACTACGAAGCGTGCCGCAAGGCAGCCAAATCTCTCATCAAGGTGAGCAGCTCCCTGCTTCAGTCATTCAGAAGTGGGGTGGCAGACTCTGGGGCACGAAGTTCTGAGCCAGCCTAGGATACTGAAACCCTGTCTCAGAAGACAAGAAAAAGTTGGGTGGAGACTCAGTGACCAGAGTGGCCTCTTGGCATGTGCAGAGCCCTGGGCTCCATCCTCATTACCACATAAATCAGGCTTGGTGGTGCATACTTGTCACCCTCACTCAGGAAAAGCTGGAGGGCTGGGAGTTCAAGGTGTCATCCGTGACAACAGAGTGAGCCAGGGTCTAGCCTGAGCTACATGAGAAGGCACCATGACCAAGGCAACTTACAAAAGGAAGCATTTAATTGGGGCTGGCTTACAGTCTCAGGGTGAGTCCATGTCGTCATGGTACGGAGCATGCAGAATGCATGGTGATGGGGCAGTAGGTGAGAGCTTACATGCGGGCAAGGTGAGACAGTACATGAGTTGGCCTAGGGTGTAATTTGAACCCTCCAAGTCCACCCCCAGTGACACCCCTCCTCCGACATGACCACACCTCCTAATCCTTCCCAAACAGTTCCACCAACTGGGAACCAGGCATTCAGACATAGGAGCCTGCAGAGGCCGTCCTCATTCACACACCACATTCCACTGCCCGGCTCCATGGGCTTGTGGCCATATCATAATGCAGAAATGCACTCAGTCCAACTTCAGAAGTCCCCATAGCCTATCCCATCTAACACCCAAAAGCACTCTCTTAACTGTAAAATCGAAACAGGGATTGCATACTTCCAGCTTGCAATAGCTCAGAGCATACGTCATCATTCCAAAAGGGTGGCAAGAGGGGGGCACAGTGAGGGACTGCAACAAGAAGGACTGAAATCCAGCGGGGCTCCATGTCCTGTCACTCTGGTGTCACAGAGCTTGGATGGCTCTTTGGGTCTCTGTTCTTTCCAGCTTCGATGACAGCGGCACTCTCTCCCTGGGACTGGGTCCCTGCCTGGTCTGCAGCTCTCCATGGCAGGTGTCCATGGTTCTAGCATCTCCGCCATCTTGGGTTCTCTAATACAATCCAGGCGTCACATCCACAGCCTCCATGCAGAGACTCTCCTGGCCTCAGCGCTTCCGTGACCATGGAGGGAGAGTCCACAGCCACTTTACTCCTGTTCCCTTTGTGACCAGAACCACATGGCTGGTGCTGCCAGGTCCTGCTGCCTCTTGTGGTGGAGCCTGGACCCCGACCTTTGTGTGCACGTGATTTGGCTCATTGCTGCTTTCCTCTGCTGCGTAAGCCTTAATTTCTTGCATGGGCTGCAGGATTAGCTGGGTGGCTTTTCTCTAAGCGTCTGTACCCTTGAGCACAGGACTTGGTTCCAATGTGACATTTCTTTCCTTGTAGGCCTGCTTAGCTCACTGACAGCCATATGACACAGCCCTTATTAGGCCATCTCGAGATCCCATTTGCCCACATTGGCCCAAATCTCTTCACGTAAGCCACAGGCAGAGAGCAGCCGCATTCTTCACCACAGCACCCTGAGAACAGTCTCCGGCCCTGTTGCTAGTATTGTTCTCTTCTGAAACCCCTTGAGCTGGGCCTCCATCGCCTACAGTCTCCCAGCATCACTCTCTTCCAAGATCCTCCTAGGATGGCCCACTCAAAGCATCCAGCCATTGTCTTAATCCAAAATCCCAAAGTCCACAATCCACCAGCAAGTGGCATGGTCTGGTCTGTCACAGTTGTACCCTGCTAATTGTTACCAACCTCTGTCTTAGTCAGTGTTCTGTTGCTGTGAAGAGACATGACCAAGGCAGCTCTTACATAAAAAAGCATTTCACTGAGGGGCTGGCTTACAGTCAGAAGCTTAGTCCACAAGCATGGCGGGGAGCAGACAGGCACCGCGCTGGAGCAGCAGCCGAGAGCCACACCCTGATCCACAGGCAGGGGGAGAAGGAGTGAGGTTGGGCCTGCCGTGGACTTTTGAAACCTCCAAGCCCACCCCAGTGACACACCTCCTCCAACAGGGCCACACCTCCTAATCCTTCCCAAACAGTTCCACTACCTGGGCCCAAGCATTCAGACATACAGGCCTCTGGCGGCTGTTCTCATTCAAACACCACAGTAGATACATGCAATTTTTAAAAGCTTGGGGCGAGACTGGTGGCTCAACAGTCACTCCTCCTGCTCTTCCAGAGGGCGAGTTTGATTCTCAGCAGTGGCTCACAGGGGAGAACTGCAGCTTCAGGGGACGCAACACCTCTGGTTTCTGTGGGCAGCTGTATGCAAATGCACACATTTGCATAGACACATCCTCATAATTAAAACTTAGGAGTTGAAGAAGGGTGGATCCTGGGTATGGTGAGTTCCAGGGAGAAGCACAAGACGGTGTCTGAAAAGATGTAAAGGCATGGGCTGGGGCCACGCTCCCCAGAGGGCCTATGCTCCCTGAGCCTTTTCAGCAAGAACGGCGACCTGAGTTTGAGTCCCCAGAACTGACACCAGAAGCCAGGTGTGGCTTTGTGTTCTTGCATCCCCTAGCCAGTGGGTGAGCAGAGGCTCGTCCCAAAGGCTCACTGGCCTGGTCCAGTGGGACAGGGACAGAGGGAAGCATGACGTCCTGCATACCCCCACACCCAGATGGAGGACATGTGAGCAATGATACCTGAGGATACCCTTTATGTACACAGGCATGCACACCATTCATACGTGTTTCCTATGAATAAGACAACTAGCAGGCCACCCAGAACGTTCTCGTCTAAGTATGTGCTTGGAGGACTCAAGATCAGGGTCTTAAAGGAATATCTGTACATCTGTAGCTAGCCACCGCAGCACACCAGTCAAGGGGCCAGTGCCGTGTGATGTGTCTATACAGTGGGATACTATACAGCCTTGAAAACGGAAGCCTGGTACATGGTTGCTACATGAAGGGCCCCCAGGGACAAGATGCGCGATGACATGAATCTTACAGAGGACACACACTGCGAGATCTCATCCGGAGAGGTTCCTAGAGCCATCAGTCCCACAGTGTCAGGAAGCGGGACATGGAAGGGACAGATTGATGAATGTGGGGAAAATGGAAGGTTCTTGAGGCCGATGGCTGTACAGCCAAGTGGATGTGCTTTCTAGGCCTGGCCCCCAGCGACTTAATCCGGGGATGCACAGAGGGAAGTGAGCGAGCTCGTGGCCCTGGGGTGCAGGCAGCACAGCAGCGCCCCCTCGGTGCTGCCCCTTGCACGATCAGAGTAGAAGTGGGCATGCTCAGGAGCTGATGCAGCTTCCTTCTGGTTTCGTCCCCTCCAGCTGGGCCTGCAGCGCTTCCAAGGAGTCGGCCTCCTGGGCTCCAACTCCCCTGAGTGGGTCATCGGCGCCATTAGTGCCATCTTTGCTGGGTATGTTCCTCCGTTGGGGGCATGATGATGGACCGCTGCCACGGGCCGGGCTGCTCAGGGGTGGGTCCGGGAGTTGCACAAATACCGAGGCCAGCAAAGTTAGATGAGCAGAGGCCACTTAATTCCGTCACCACAGGGCCCAGAACTAGTTAGGGCCACGGGCAGGTCAGGTTCAGACACTGACCCGGAACAGAGTGAGTAGCCTCTTTTTAAAGCAAGAGCCACACGTAGGAGGTCAGGGGTAATATAAGAATTTTACAGTTTGAGGTTGTCTTGGGTACATTCTGGGAATTTACAGTTTGTGATAACAAGGTGTTTGTACAAGCTTAACGGGGTTTGCTTACACAAGTCTGCGGTTATAACACAGCTCTTGACACGTCTGGGGTCTTAATATTTAATTGCTCTTCTCGTAACTGCAGAGGATATGGGACAAGGGTCATGCAGGAGAAGCTGGGTAGGAGGTGGCCAATGTTTTCAAATTATTGTGGACTCCGCACTCAGCACAAACCCAGATTCAGAGTGGGAGGTTAAGAGTAACACCCCTTCCACCTGCGGCCTTGGCCTCATCTTTCTTTTAAAAATAGTTTCTTAACATTTAAGACTTGTGCACTGTCGGGTGTTGGTGGTGCATGCCTTTAATCCCAGCACTTGGGAGGCAGAGGCAGGCGGATCTCTGTGAGTTCCAGGCCGGGCTGGTCCAACAGTCTCCAAAACAATACAGAGAAACCCTGTCTCGTAAAACCAAAAAGAAAAAAGAAAAAAAAAAGGTGTGCACATGTGCATATTTGTGTGTGTGCACATGTGTGTAGACATCCACAGAGCCAGGAGAGGGGGTAAAGGGGTCAGATCCCCTGCACCTGCAGTTACAGGCTACTGTGAACCAAGGGGGTGCTGGAACTGAACTGGGGTCTCCTGCAGGAGTGGCCGTCCCAGCCTGGGCTGAGTTCTCAGATGGAGACCTCTATGGAAACCTGGTAGTTTGGGGGTCCTGTGGCAAAGTGATCCTTCTAAAACCTCACAGCCCTGGCAGGGGAGCTGCCTGGGTGGTCAAAGGCCTCATGGTACCAGTGTGAGGACCTGAGTTCAATTCTGGGAAGCCACGGGAAGCACGAGCCCTGGCTGAGGAGATGGTGGCTCAGCGGACAAAGGCACTTGTCACCAAACCTGCTGGCCTCAGTCCCATGCCTTGGGTCCACGGGGTCCCCTCTGGCTCCTCTCTGACCTCCACGTGCTCACTGTGGGATGAGCCACCACATCCACACAAATGCATGTTACTCTAAAGAATAAATTGTGGTAAGAGCACTGGCTACTGTTGCAGAGGACCCAGGTTCAATTGCCAGCACTCACAATGCAGCTCACAAGCATCTTTAACTCCAGTTCCAGGAGATCTGACTCCCTCTTCTGGTCCCTGTGTGCCCTTTATACATGTGAGATACACAGACATACAGACAAAACACCCACATTAGCAAATAAAACAAGAAAACCTGCTCAGAAAGAACCAACTCTTTCAAAAGCACCCAGTCCACCCATGACTGAGCGTGTCTTGTGTCCCCAGGGGCCTCTGCGTTGGTATTTACGCCACCAACTCGGCGGACGCCTGCCAGTATGTCATCGAGCATGCCAGGCTGAACATCCTGCTGGTGGAGAATGACCAACAGCTGCAGAAGATCCTGTCGGTGAGTGGGACCGGGGTGGGTGCTGGGTGCAGTCTGAGGCATGTCCACGAAGATGTCCAGACGAAACTGCCTTTGGTGGGAGCAGGGTGAGTGTGGGGAGGTTGGTTCCTGTCAATTAAATCCACTTCCCAACCACCTTCTGATAAGTGCACGCCCAGGAGGCAAGCACAGCGAGCATCTGTGACCCTGGCGCTGTTCTTTAGCAGATATATATATATATATATATATACATATATATATATATATATATATATATATATATATACTTTTTTTTGGTTTTTCCAGACAGGGTTTCTCTATCTTTGGAAACTGTCCTGGAACTCGTTCTGTAGACCAGGCCGGCCTCAAACTCACAGAGATCCGCCTGCCTCTGCCTCCCGAGTGCTGGGATTAAAGGTGTGTAAAGGTGTGCGCCATCAATACCCTTCATTTGTATTTTTTTTTTTTTGGTTTTTCAAGACAGGGTTTCTCTGTATTGTCTTGGAGGCTGTCCTGGAACTCGCTTGGTAGACCAGGCTGGCCTCGAACTCACAGTGATCTGCCTGCCTCTGCCTCCCAAGTGCTGGGATTAAAGGCGTGCGCCACCAACGCCCGGCTCACTTGTATTTTTATAGATGTTACAGAAACACCTTCCACTCCTCACATGTACACAAATGCCCAGAACTTGCCTGGGTTTGGCAGGAAGATCTGGAACCCAGGGGGGCAGATGGACGCGTGTTCAGCTTAGGGCTGGCCATCAGGGGCTGGGAGGTGGCTCAGTGGGGACCTGAGCCCAGATCCCTCGTGTCTGTGCCGGGAGCCAGGGCCAGTGACACAGGTCTGTTATCACAGTGCGAGGATGGCAGGGACAGGGCTCTGGCCAAACAGTCAGAGAGAGACTGCCTCAAAAGACAAGCAGAGAGTTATGGAGGAAGATGTCCAACACTGTCCGCCCCCTGACGCTGTCCTCTGTCCTCTACACAAGAAGACAGACACACGTACACAGACACAAAGTTAAAATACAAGAGCTACCCCGACAGTTGGGTCTATGTTGCCAGTCTTGGGTCAGACATTATCTAGAAACGTCTTGAGCAGGGATGACATGTCTGTCCACCTGTGGTCTATTTGTGGGTCACGTGTCCCCAGTGAATTTCTCCTTCGAGTAACTGAAGTCTATGGCCTTGTCAAGGAGAGCAGCCCTCCCTTTGACTCCTGGTTGCCAGACACATGTCTGTTAGTTTTGAGCTGAGTCTCATGTAGCCCAGGCTGGCCTCCAGCCCACTGTGTAGCTGAAGATAATCTTGAACTCCTGATCCTCCTGCCTCCGCCTCCTGAGGCCTGGGGTGACAGGTGCCGTCACACCTGATTGATGTGGTTCGAGTACAGGTCACAGGGCTTTGTGAATGCTCTGCCCATGGAGCACAGCCCCAGCCTTGATTTTAAAACTACTCTCTTGTAAAGAGTTACATTTGGCCGGGCGTTGGTGGCGCACGCCTTTAATCCCAGCACTCGGGAGGCATAGGCAGGCGGATCTCTGTGAGTTCGAGGCCGGGCTGGACTGACAGCCTCCAAAACAATACAGAGAAACCCTGTTCTTGAAAAAAAAACAATTACATTTGTTTGCGTATTGTGTGCGTATTGTGTGCATACGTGTGTGTGGTGGACAGAGGACAGCTCTGTGGGGTCGCCGCTCCTCTCCCACCGTGTGCAGGAGCCTGTATGAGCAGGTCCGCGCAGATCCTGCGCCCCGGTACCCTGAGCCCACTGGGAACTCTTTCAGATTCCACCAGACCAGAGGGAGTCTGTGAAAGCCATCGTGCAGTACAAGACGCCCTTGGAGGACAGCTTCAGGAACCTGTACTCCGTGAGTGCCGGAGGGGGGGGCTTGAGTCTGGCCGAGATAGTAGGTGGGGCTGCAGAGGTAATGTACACAGCAAGCAGGCAGGGACTCTGTGAGGAATTGTGCAAGGTGGGGCCTGACAGGAGTGGACGAGGCCTCTCTAGGGAAGGAAGTGGACAAGCCCACACAAGTGGGTGGGTGGGGCCCCATGAGGAAAGTGGGCGTGGCAGTGTCATGGGTGATCAGTGCAAGTGTTTGCTATTCTTGTTGCGATCCCTCAGCCCAAAACCAGCAGATGAAGTCAGGAACTCATTATTTTATGCCTGTCAGAAAAATCAAAGTAGTTGGAAAAAAAACCCAAATTGAAAACTAAGTTGATTAAAACATGTTATTTAAAACCTTATTTTCGATGGGCAGTGGTGGTGCACACCTTTAATCCCTGTGCTCAGGAGGCAGAGGCAGAGGCAGGCGGATCTCTGTGAGTTCAAGACCAGCCTGGTCTACAGAGCGAGTTCCAGGACAGCCTCCAAAGCCACAGAGAAACCCTGCTCAAAAAAAAAAAAAAAAAAAAAAAAAACCCTTATTTTCAACTTTCAAGGGGAAAATTTTCATATATGTATTTGCATGCTTTTATCTTTTTGAGACAGGGGCCTATATTCTATATCAAACTTACAGCCTTACAGCTTTTTCTCTTTTTTCTTACAAATCTGACTGTATTTGCTTGTATTAGGAGTGTGAGTATGTGGGTAGGGCATGCGAGAGGTCAGAAAGGTGGCCTCTCTCCACCATGTGGGTCCTGGGATTGAACTCAGGTCGTCAGGCTTGGCTGGGCTGGCTCCTCAGCCCTGCTTCCTAATATTGTAACATCTGTGTGCATCGTGGAATGACTACATGAGACAGTTAACACACACGGCTTCAAATATTTACCTTTTAAAATGCCCATCGGGCTGGAGAGATGGCTCAGCGGTTAAGAGCACTGACTGTTCTTCCAGAGGTCCTGAGTTCAATTCCCAGCAACCACATGGTGGCTCACAACCACCTTGAATGAGCTCTAATGCCCGCTGCTGGCATGCAGGCAGAAGACTGTATACATAATAAATAAATAAAATATTTTTTAAAAATTTAAAAAATGCCTATCACCAGACATGGTAACCACACACACCCAGCACCTGGCAGCCAGAGGCAGGAGGATCTCTGTGAGGTCAAGGCAGGCCGACTTGGCATACACTGAGAGTTCCAGGACAAGTGGTGGCGTGCGCCTTTAATCCCGGCTCTCAGAAGGCAGAGGCAGGTGGATCTCTGAGTTTGAAGCCAGCCTGGTCTACAGAGCTGGTTCCAGCATAGCCAGAGTTACACAGAGAAACCCTGTCTCGAAAATACCAACAAAACAAAATGTATCTTTGAAGCAAGATGGGGACACAGGCCTGCCATCCTAACTACTAGGAAGGTTCAGATAGGAGGATTGTGAGTTTAAGTCTAGCAGAAGCAACAACTAAGGCCCTCTATTAAAATAAAGAGGCTGGGGACTTGGCTCAGAAGTAGAAAGGCTTCCTAGACTCACCAGTGAGGGACTGGGGCGTGGCCAAGGGTGGAGCCCCTTCCTGCAACATCCCAGCGAGGGGCTAGGGGCATGGTAAGGGGTGAAATCACTGCCTAGAATTCTCCAGTGAGGGGCTGGGGCTGTGGTCAGGTGGAGCCCTGCCTAGAATTCCCAGTAAGGGGCTTGGGGGTGTAGCTGTCTGTCTTCTTGTCTGGTATGTGATCAGGGATCTTGGATTCAACTTTTAATGATAATTTTTTTTTTTTTTGGTTTTTCGAGACAGGGTTTCTCTGTATTATTTTGGAGGCTGTCCTGAAACTCCCTCGGTAGACCAGGCTTGGTCTCGAACTCACAGAGATCCGCCTACCTCTGCCTCCCGAGTGCTGGGATTAAAGGCGTGCGCCACGAATGCCCGGCTTAATGATGAGTTTTAAGAGGAAAGAAAAAGCGAAAGTAAGCCTCCTTACTTAGAAGTTTACCTGACCACACTCTTCAGGCTTGGCATTCTTGAACTTGGGGCAGAAGACCCTTGGCAGGGTTAGTCCTGGAGCAGTGGGATGCTGAACCTTGCCTCTGGCCTTTGGCCTCTAGGTGACAGCAGCGTCCTCACCATAGGAACAAGTCAGTACTTTATGCCTGTTCCTCTGAACAGCAGTGCCCCTCAGTGCGACTCTTACAGGGATGGTTCTGTTACACAGCAAGGTATCTATGTACTCTGCAGTGAACGAGAGACCCTATAAGGTTGGAATGGAGATAGAGCTGGATATGTAGCCCAGGCTGGCCTAAAACTTGACATCTTCCTGCCTCAGCCTCCTGTGTGCTGGGACTTAAAGTCTTGCCACCATGACAGGGGTTCAAGCCTACAGTTTAAGATTCAGTTTAAAAGTACACTTTTTTAAGGACCAGTGCCTCGGTCTGCTTAGCTGCCCTGGAAAGATCATCTGAACCTAAAGGATGCCATTGCCTTTAGTCCCAGCAGAGACAGGTGGATCTCTAAGTTAGAGGCCAGCCTGGTCCACAGAGTGAGTTCCAGGACAGCCAGGACTACACAGAGAAACCCTGTCTCGAAAAGCAAAACCATACAACAAAGGCAAACCCCAAATGGCATGAGCAAGGGAGGACGTTTGTCGCCGCTTTGACTGCAGCTCAGAAAGGCTTTATGTCGCCAGTCTCCTGGCTTTTGGTCCCCACCACTGCAGGACCCTGTAGTCCCGTCTGTGCTGTCGGCAAATCCCTCCCCCTTCACAAAGTCTGTCCAGTCAGCCCTGGATTGATGAGAAGATACTCTGGCTTCATGCAATCAGGGGTGACTTCTGGTGGGGGAACCTTGACAATGTGAGCTCAGGAACGCCTAGGATGGGAACTCCTCCAGGGGGTCACCTGCTCCTGGGGGTGGGGCCAGTGAGAGGGCTCAGCAGGTGAAGGGCTTGATCCTGGGAACTCACGTGGTGCAGAGGGACTGCCTTCTATAGGTGCACCGAGGCATCTGTTCTCCTAGACAGGCACCCCAATAAGTAATTAAATGTAAAAATCTCTCGTTTAAGCTACTTGAGGGTCAGTCTTGTTATTTACAGCCCATGCTGTCCTTTGGGATAGCATGCATACCAGGAGACTGACAGATGCTTGTCCAAGGCCACAGCACAGCCAACCAGTCAGTGACTTCTTGGAACAGCCCAAATTGAGGGGCTGGCATTCCTGCGCTGCAGATGAGGCCTGTCGCCCTGGGCATTTTTGAGAGCTCTCCCAGCCCTTGACCTTTCCTCCGTGTCAGCTGGGGTTAGCCGGTGTGGCGGGTTCTGAGCCTGAGCCAGCGAGTTCCCCACCTTCCCGTCCGCAGTGGCATGACTTCATGGAGCTGGGTAGCGACATCACCAACGTGCAGCTGGACCGCATCATCTTGAGCCAAAAGGCCAACCAGTGTGCAGTCCTCATCTACACCTCGGGCACCACAGGGAACCCCAAAGGGGTGATGCTGAGCCATGACAATGTAAGCCAGGGCCCCCACCCCACAGCCGGCATGCTCGCCCCGGGCCTTCCCTCATGGGCAACTGGACAGTTGGTAGAACTGGAGGTTTGGATGTAGACATGGGTCCAAAGCCAGGCTGGTGACCTTAGGCAAGAAAACTGATGGTGCCATGCCTCAGTTTCCCTGTCTGTGAAATGGGAGTTGGTGTCACAGTTTCTATCTGGTAGGTGGTTTGTTTTTTTTTTAATTCACGTGTGTATCTCTGGGAGTGTGTCTCTGTTCTGTGTGTCTGAGTATGAGACTGTGGGGGCTGGGGACTGGAACCTGACCTCAGCTGTGGTCTCTCATGAGTGTCCATCTTGGATACTTTGAGGCAGGGTCTGTCAGTGGTCAGGCCGGGCAGGATGGACGTGGCCCCTCCTGCCCGCCTCTCTGAGTACCACCACGTTGGCCTGGGTCTTCATGCAGGCAGACAGGCAGGCACTTCACCCACCAACACATTTCCCTGGCCTGATTGGTTTATTTTATTTTGTTTTTATTTTTTGAGATAGGTTGTCATGTAGCCCAGGCTGGCCTCAAACTTGCTGTCTAGCTGAGGCTGCCCTTGAACTCCTGATCCTTCTGCCTCCATCTCCCGAGTGCGGGGATGATGACATGCTTGTGAGAACGCTTGTGTGTGAGCGTCTGTGGACGCCAGCGCTTGTCACTGGTGTCTTCCTCAATGGCTCTCCGCCCCACACATTGAGTCAGGCCTCCCATAGGGACCTAGGAACAGAGGTTCAGGTCGTTCTGGGGACCTTTGTCTCCATCTTCCACTTGACAGAGACCACAGGTGATGCATGTGCACTGAGCTGCTGGTTTTATGTTAACCTGACAGGCTCAGAGCATCTAAGAGGAGGGAGCGTCTGTAAGACCAAGCAAGCCCGTGGGCCATTATCTTACTCAGTGATCTCTATCCCTGTGGGGCCACCAACCAGCTCCCAAATCACAACACGGAGACTTAATATTAGTTATGAATGGTGGGCCCTAGCTCAGGCCTTTTCTGGCTCGCTCTTTTAAATTAACCTGTGTCCCTTTATCGACCTTTGCCTCAGGGCTTCTTACCTTCTTTCTGTCTTACTCTGCATCTGCTGGATGGGGGCTCCCTCATTGTCTCATGCTCCTTCTCTTCGTTCTTCCTGTTCTCCAGCCTAGATCTCTCCTCCTGTTTGTTCTCTCTGCCTGCCAGCCCCACCTATCCTTTCTCTGCCTGGCTATTGGCCATTCAGCTCTTTATTAGACCAATCAGGTGCCTTAGGCAGGCGAGGCGGAACATGCAACATATCTTTACATAATAAAACACACATCCTTACATTGTTAAATAAATGCAGCATAAACAAAGGTAACCCACCTCTACACAGTTAAAGTCATACTCTGCAGCATAAACAACTGTAACACATCTTTGCCCGGTTCAAATGATATTCCAAAACAGTGATCAATGAGGAGGGACCACCATTGTGAGTAGTGCCATCCCTGAGCTGGTGGTCCTGGGATGAGCTGGCTCAGCGAGCCATGGGGAGCAAGCCAGTCAGCAGCACCTCCACGGCCTCTGCATCAGCTCCTGCCTCCAGGCTCCTGAGCTGTGTGAGCTCCCTCCCTGACTTCCTCCAAAGAAACCCTTTCCTCCCCACATTGCCTTGGTCATGGTCTTCATCCCAGCACTGGTGACCCTGACTAGGACAGCACTCATGTGGTGTCTGGGTTCTGGAGATCTGAACTCCAGTCTCTACTCTGTGTGAAAAGAGCTTAGTATGGCCATCCCCAGGCCCTGCAGGTTGATATTCCAGATTGACCGTCACAAAGCAACACCCCCAGCTTCCTCCTCCTGCTTGCTGGGGTGGTTCTACACACCTGGGGTTCTGTTTGTATGCATTGCACCGTGTCTTCCCAAGTCACTCTCCACCTTCTTTTGGGGACAGGGCCTCTCTCTGAACCTGCTGCTCACCGGTTGCCAGGCTGCCCAGCCACCTTCTGTCCCCACTAGCATGATGACAGTAGTGTGTCGCAGGTGGGAAAGACTGGGCAGCAGTCTGGGAGTGGCCTTAGTGCAGTGCTCTCCATACGTGCATGGGATCCTGAGTTCAATCTGCAGCACCCATTTAAAAATCCCGGCCAGGTGGGAATCCTTTGAAATCCCAGTGAGGTGGGGTGGGGGGACAGGAAGATCCTGTTAACTGACCAGGCAGCCTACTCAAACTGTCCAGCCCCAGATCTGGCAAGAGACCCTGAATCAAAACACAAGGCAAGAGGGGGCTGGAGAGATGGTGCAGTGGTTAGGGGTGGAGTTTGGATCCCAGTACCCACATAGCCATCTGGGCATCAGATGACCCTGTCACTCCAGCTGTGCGTGTGGCAGGCACACCGGAGTTTCCAGCTTGCCGCTGCTTTTCTAGCCTGGCTACAAAGCATGAGCACCCGGTTCAAGAAGAGAGCTTGCCCCAAAGGGGGTGCACACACACTACAGGGAAGTACACATCCTAAGAAAATGTGTGTGTGTGTGTGTGTGTGTGTGTGTGAGAGAGAGAGAGAGAGAGAGAGAGAGAGAGACGGACAGACAGACAGCAGGTGTCTGTGGGTGCCCTCAGAGGTGATCCCCTGGAGCTGGAGCATCTGGGCCACCATGGGGCTGAGAGGGCTGAGAGGGCCCTCCCTCTGCAGAGCAGCGATCCCCTGAGCCACCCTCCAGCCCCAGTAGGTAAAATCTCAAAGAAATGAGGTGGGGGCGTGAGGAAGAAAACTGACCTCTGTCTCAGGCCCCTCACGCACGCACATGTACTCAGGTAGGCGCCACAGCTCCGGTCACTCTTGTTTTCTAGATCACGTGGACCGCAGGGGCCATGAGCCGGGAGCTGGAGCTGAGCCACCACATCTTGGGGCAGCAGAACACGATAGTCAGCTACCTGCCCCTCAGCCACATCTCGGCCCAGATGCTGGACATCTGGGTCCCCATCAAGGTCGGGGGGCTCACTTTCTTCGCCCAACCGGATGCACTCAGGGTAAGGCTGGGCGAGGGCCCCACCAAGCGTCAGTGGCCTTCAGGGGGTGTAGACACCATCCGTCCCCTGGACTGGCCGGAAGTCCAAGACTCTTCCTCCGTCTTCATTTCCTGTCCCGTTCCACAGCATTGAAAACAGTTGAGTAAATTCTCTCAGTTTCATCTTGATGTGCAGACTGCACCCTTCATGAGTTCAGTAGAGACCTGAGTGGCATTGGAAGTGTGTATTGTCTTCATTTATTTATGTATTGGGGCATGCACTGTGGTGGGCACATGCTGATCAGAGGACATTTTAGGATCCGTGGTCCGTCCTCGCTTCCACCTGTGATTCTGGGGACAAACTCAGGTCGTCAGGCTTGGTGGCGAGTGCCTTTACCTACTCAGCCATCTTGTTCATTTCCCCCTTTAAAAAAAACACTGTGTGCACACACAGGCTCGTGTGAGTTCCCATTCTGGCCTGAGACGCACCAGCTGCTCCTGCAGAGGACCAGGGTTCAATTCCCAGCACCCAATGGCAGCTCACACCACCTGTAACTCCAGTTCCAGGGGGTCCAGTGCCTTCCACGGGGCCAGGTGTGTACATGGGGCACATACACACATACAGGCAAAACCCTCACACACACAAAATAAATCTAAAACTTAAGTGAGGCTTAGTGCAGATACTGAGCTGATTTCTTTTTATCCAATTCTAGTGTTTTGGAGTATATAATGTTACTGTTTCTTGATTCACAATCTATTGTTTTCCTGTGTGTTAGAGGAGGATTCGGCGCCTCCACTGTCTCCGCCCTCTTCCCCTTCTCCGTCTTCTCTGGTGACTGCACCAGAGGGCTGACTGCCGGGGCCCGGCCCTGTCCGCCAGGACTTGGTTTTTCTCTGAGTTATCAGTAGCCTTTGTTTTCCAGTCAGGTGACCTTTTTGCCTGTCAGATTTCTTCCTGTCAGTGTTCTGCCGTAAACGGGGCTGCTGATCATTTCGTTTGTCCTAGGGTGGGATAACTGGATGGAAGGGAGGCCAGCAGGGGGCAGCAGAGAGCACTGAGCTGAGAAGGTTGAGGGGTGCAGATGGACTCCTGGGGAGCTCTGAGAGTGCCTCGGGCCACAGACCCTGCACAAGGGCCTGGGGCCTTGGTGTCCACGTGCAAGGTGGACACTGGCCACAAGCTCAGCACTTCTGTGTGCCTGCCAAGCCCAGAGGCTCGGTATTGCGGTTCTATGGGAAAGAAGATGCTGTGGCCCAGGAGGGACCAGGGTCAGACGGGAGCAGTGCCCTGAGCACGCTGCTCCTCAGGCCCTTCTTGGCTTCCAGCTTGGGCCCTGTTTTCTGGGGTCTTTGCTGTCTTTTTTTTTTTTTTTTTTTTTGTCACCATGCCCTTCCTTTATAAAGCTGGAGGTGACCCTTTGGTGGTTTTTTTTTTTTTTAAGAATAGCTATGGATAAGCCGGGCGTTGGTGGCGCACGCCTTTAATCCCAGCACTGGGGAGGCAGAGGCAGGCGGATCTCTGTGAGTTCGAGACCAGCCTGGACTACCAAGCGAGTTCCAGGACAGCCTCCAAAGCCACAGAGAAACCCTGTCTCGAAAAACCATAAAAAAAAAAAAAAAAAGAGTAGCTATGGAAAAGGGATGCCCGTTTCCTTCATGTACAGACTTTGCAAACTTCACCAAACCACATGGGAAGTCCGAGTCCCCATCATTTCTAGCTGCTAGGCGCACTGGGCTAGCGGCTCAAACTGGGCTGTCACGTGGCGAACGTGGGGGTGTCACGAGGACTGGGTTGTCATTTGAGGAGACTGCTTTTCCTGCCTTTCCCAGCTTCTAGAAGGAATGCTGCCTGTATTCCTAGGCTTGTGGCCTCTTCCTCCATCTTCTAAAACATATTATTGTGTATGTGCTTGTGAGTGTTAACTGCATGCATGTATGTACCCCACTGCGTCCTGGGTCCCCTGGAGCTGAAGTCCCAGGCAGTTAAGAGTCTCCATGTGGGTGCTGGGAACCACACCTGTGTGCCCTACAGGAGCATCAAGAGCTCTAACCAGTGAGCCGGCCTCCAACCCCCTCTTCTGTCTCTATAACCAGTAGCTCAGTATCTGCAGTCTCACCCCTAACACAAAGCATATAAATACAAACATCAATGGATATATACACATGTGTGTGAACACAGAAAAATACACAGGAACACAGTTCACACATTCAAACAGACACCGTAAACACAGTCACATACATAGACACATATATATGTAAATACACTGTCTCAGGTAAGATTTCCATATAAAATACTGTGAGTTGAGGGCCCGGTGTTGGTGGCACACATCTTTAATCCCAGCACTCAGGAGGCAATGGCAGGCCAGTCTCTTGTGAGTTCAAGGCCAACCTGTTCTACAGAGCAAGTTCCAGGACAGACTCCAAAGCCACAGACAAACCCTGTCTTGAAAAAAAAAAACAAAAAACAAAACAAAACAGAAACAAACAAAACAATTGTTGGGAGGAAAGGGTTTCTGTGGCTTATACTTCCACATTGTAGTCTATCACTGAAGGAAGTCAGGCCAGGAACTCACACAGGGCAGGGTCCTGGAGGCAGGAGCTGATACAGAGGCCAGGGAGGAGCTGCTCACTGGCCTGCTCCTCATGGCTTGCTCAGTCTGATTTCTTATAGAAGTCAGGACCAGTAGTCCAGGAATGGCCACACTCACAGTGGGCTGGGCCCTCCCCCATTGATCACTTAAGGAAATGCCCCAGAGGCCAATCTGGTGGGGATGTTTTCTAAACTGGGAGTCCTCTTCCCAAAAGACTCTAGTTTGTGTTAAGTTGGCCAAACACTGGCCAAAAATGCAAACAGACATAAGCATAGACATGCAAACATACAAATAAAGACAGAAATGTACACTTACACACACAGTGGCAAACACATAAATGTAAGCATAGAACACTAACTTATGAACACATGAACACCTGCAGTCACACAGCATACATGCAGGCCCCAGTCCCCTGCTGGTGTACCTGTCTGCCTCCCATATGGACCCTGGTCGGAACACTGAGCCACCTGACCACCCAGAAAATCTGGCTTCTCAAGAGTCTTAATTTATTGTTACTTTTTGAATTTGTTTTAGAGTTTAAATTTGCAGTAAGCACTGGCGAAAGAAAGTTATCAGGGTCAGGTTAAAAGGGAAATTCAATGGAAACAGAGAACTGTGTAGATTCCACACACAGACTCAGACACAGAGCCACACGCAGACACAGACACATGAGACACAGACACAGAGATACACACAGACTCAGACACAGTTACATGAGACAGACACAGAGCCACACGCAGACACAGACACATGAAACACACAGAGCCACACGCAGACTCAGACACAGACACATGAGACACAGACACAGCCACAGAGCCACACTGACACCGAGCCTGAAGACCTGAGTCTGATCCTCAGTCCCTACAAGATGGAAGAGAGAAACTATTCCTTCCAGTTGTCCTCTGACCTCACCAAGAATGCCGTAAAGAAAGTGAAAGAAAAAGAAGTCATTCGTGGCCAGGGGTAATCCAGATAACCAGGGCTCTGAGGTTTTCAATATGATGGATGCTTTCTGGTGGGACCTGCTCCCTCCTGTAGGCCCCAGGGGCTTTGCATACCACAAATATTAGAGCTGATGCTGCTGGGACAGCTCAGCTGGTAAGACCCCTTGCTGCACAACCATTAGGACCTGATTCAAATCCCCAGCACTAATGTAAGAAGCCGGGCGTGGCTACCTGCATATGCCCATACCCCAATGTTGTGGGGCGGAGCAGGAGGTCTCTGGGAATTGCTTGGCAACCTAGCTTCAGGTGCTGTCGATGGTCCCCGTTCAAAGTGGCCTCAGGTTTTTATCAAGGGTGGGGTCCCCACTTTGCCTTCCAATGCAAGTCATATATTCATTTTTTAAAGTGTCGTCCTCACTCAGTCTCCAGGGTGTGAAGTGAAGTGGCAAGTCACCATCCGCAGTGACATTTCCTTCATTAGGAACGATGCAGGAACATCGGGACATCGTCTCATGGGCTCACTGGCTGCTTGGATTTCATGTCTTTTCTTTCTTTCTTCAGATGTTTGTGACTTTTTTCTTTTTTATTCATTTTTTAATTGAGCTGTATGTTTTCCCCCACTTCCTTTTTCCCTGTTCCGTATTCCTCTCTCGTACACTCACCCCGGTCACAGTCTCCCGTCTGCACCGATATGTCGAGTTTCACTGGGAGGCCTGCTCCCTTGTGAAGGGACATTGAGGACTATTTGGATGTAATTTCTGTCCAAATCCTTTGCATTTAAGGTTTTCTTGGTAAAGCTAAGCATGCTGATTTTCAAGGGCTCTTTATGTATTCAGGTAATGAAGCCTTACATACACCATGATTTGCAAGGGCTGTCTTCTGTTTTTCCCTTCGTGGTCTCTTGGGGTGTGGAGGAAGTTTGGCTTCGATGAGCCTCAGCTTACTGCTTTCCCCCGTGCTCTGCTCCCACAAAGCCTTCCGGTTTCCTCTGTCCGCTTTTACTGCTGACTCTTGGTTTCCAGTTGATTTTCATGTTGTCTGAGAAGTCAGATTGTAAGCCAAGCGTGGCTGCTTGCTTTCGTACACGAACATCGTTTCCTAGATGCAGGGAATTCCTGAGGAGACACGTGCGGAAAACGAATGACCATAAATGTAAAATGTTGTCTGTGGACCAATCTGTGTGCTCTTGCACACGCACACACATACACACACTTGCACACATGCACACACACATGCACACACGCACACACACACATATAGGCACACACACATATAGGCACACACATACATATACATGCACACGTGCACACATGTGCACGCTCATATACTTGCGCATGTGCAAACATGCTTACATGGAGGTGGGGGCGGATGAGCCTGAATCTGATTGGCCGCTGTGAAGCCAGGGTTGTTCTCTATGCCTGATCCAAAGGCTGCCCTGGGGGAAGGGGGAGGGAATGTGGCTCCTGCAGGTGCTGCAGCGCCTCACCCGATCCGTCCCGCACAGGGCACCTTGGTGTACACCCTTCAGGAGGTGAGGCCTACTGTTTTCTTGGGGGTGCCTCGTGTCTGGGAAAAGATGCAGGAGAACATCAAGGAAAATGTATCCAAGTCCTCCAGTCTGAGGAAGAAGGCCTTCGCATGGGCAAAGATGCTTGGCTTGAAGGTCAACACCAAGCGGATGCTGGGGTAGGCACAGTGTCCCTAGTGTGTGAGGGAGCACGGGGAGGCACAGTGTCCCTAGTGTGTGTGAGGGAGCATGGGGAGGCACAGTGTCCCTAGTGTGTGTGAGGGAGCACGGGGAGGCACAGTGTCCCTAGTGTGTGTGAGGGAGCACGGGGAGGCACAGTGTCCCTAGTGTGTGAGGGAGCACGGGGAGGCACAGTGTCCCTAGTGTGTGTGAGGGAGCACGGGGAGGCACAGTGTCCCTGGTGGCTGTGAGGAGCACCGGAGGCTCTGGCATCTGAAGCCGGGTCTCTTTGACGATGGCGTTCCCAGGAAGCAAGACATCCCCATGAACTACCGCATGGCCAAGGCGCTTGTGTTCACGAAGGTCAGGACCTCCCTGGGGCTGGACAATTGCCACTCCTTCTTCAGTGGGGCTGCGCCCCTCTCCCAGGATGTTGCGGAGTTCTTCCTCAGTCTGGACATCCCCATTGGCGAGATGTACGGGATGAGCGAGAGCTCTGGACCCCACTCAGTCTCCAACAAGAACTGCTACAAGGTTTTGAGGTACCAGTTTGCTGGGCCCCAGGGCCCCCAGGGTCACGGCATGAAGCATGAAGGGGTGGCGACTGCTGGCTAAGGCACATCCTGAGCCTGAGGTCCCATTCTCCAGCCTCCCAGCCCAGGGCCTCTGGGAGGGGCACTTGTTCTAGAACCATCTATCATATTGTGAGACTTTTCCTAGGGAGACCTGAAAGAATGTGTATTTACCCCAGGCAGCGCATCAAAAACGCCAAAGAAACTCTTCCTCTCCAGTGTACGTTGACACGCTTATGGGGGAGATTTATAGACTGTGGGTCAGAGGTCACTGACAGGAGTGTGTGTAGACTCAAAGGGAGCACATGGCCTACAAATGCATGGCAGCCTGGGCCACCCCTCAGAAGAGCCACATCCAAAGGCCCTGCACATTTGACAGGCCGCTCCAAGTGTCTTCCCTGAACTGTTACTGTTCAGAGAACCTGGGGCTGGGCTCTGAGGCGTTATAAGTTTCAGGAACTTCTCGAGACTTGTGAGTTTCCATTACTTCCTGCATTTTAAGAAGCCTCTTTCCGCCGGGCGTTGGTGGCGCACGCCTTTAATCCCAGCACTCAGGAGGCAGAGGCAAGCGGATCTCTGTGAGTTTGAGGCCAGCCTGGTCTACAAAACTACACAGAGAAACCTGGTCTTGAAAAACCAAAAATAAATACATAAATAAAATAAAAGAAGCCTCCTTCCAGACGGCGGTGCTCCAGTCCTGAGGAAGAGACTGCTGCCTGATACACAGTTTCCCTCCCAGTGTCCTGTGACCTCAGGACCCCGTTGTCCTCCAGCTCAGGCCTCTCTGTTGTTCTTCTGTGGCTTCTGCGCAGCTCAGCTCACCAGGTCACAGGGTCGAGCCACAGTGGCCCTAACACCTGCACACCCAGGGGCGCCTCTACTGTGGAGGCTGACCTCTCCCAGAATCCCGCCACCAAAGTGTGTGCCCGGATTTCCGCTTTTGCGTGAGGTTTGTCAGTACACAGCCTGCAGCTGAGGGACCAAATAACAATAGCGATAGAAGCAACGGTGGAGGAGGAGGAGGAGGAGGAGGAGGAGGAGGAGGAGGAGGAGGAGGAGGAACAGCTGGAGGCCGGCGGTGTCCTTGGACTGCAGACACTCCCTCGGGTGCACCTCAGTCCTCCCATGACCACGTCCCGCCATATTACAGGACACTGCCGTGGCCTCATATGTCCACTCCCTGCACTAGGATGGCAGTGAGCATGTGGCCCCGTTAGTGCACACAGAGCGTTTCTACAAGCCAGTGGGTGCAAAATCTGCCCGTTTCCCTTCCGTGCCTCTTCTCGTGAGGCTGAAAGCAGCCCCCCCCCCAACATTCCCTCTCTGATGCCAACGTTCTGGCCGTCACGTGACTGTTGCCCCCACGGCTCTCTGGGGAAAGTGGCTCATTGCCATCCTAGGGTCCTTAGGGGTTTCTTTGCTTCACACAAGCGGATGTAGAAACAACCCCCGGTCCTGTGGGGCTTCCAGATGCTCTGAATGTGGAGACGGATGCCCACTGAGTCTCAGGGGCCTGAGTTCAGCGGGGACAGCCGAGGAACATCAGAGCTCTGGGCGGCTGGCACAGGAGGACCCCGGGGCTCACGCCACCCTGTCTCTGACGGCGCTTTTCCCAATCACGTCCCCCGCAGCTGTGGCAGGATCTTGAATGGATGCCAGAACATGCTATACCAGCAGAACAAGGACGGCGTGGGTGAGGTATGCATGTGGGGCCGGCACGTCTTCATGGGCTACCTGGACATGGAGGATGCTACCCTGGAAGTTCTCGACGACGATGGCTGGCTGCACTCTGGGGACTTGGGCCGTATGGACAGCCAAGATTTCCTTTACATCACCGGCCGAATCAAAGGTGCCAGGCGCATTTAAGGCAAAGACTACCGGGCGTATTAGGGGAACCGGCAGGAATTTGGGGGTGTCCAGGCTGCCAGGGGTACATGCGGTGGTATGGGGGGTGTTAGGATGCCAGGTACTAGGGGCACGAGAGAAAGCAGCATTCCCGGGTCACCAGGATCCTGCCCTGTCCTACTGGGAGCAGGTTGCTCTAGACCTGGCACCTGTGCCTCTGCAGTGAGACCGCCTCTGATAGAGTCAGTCAGGAGAGGCCAGGAAGTGTCAGGGAGGCTCCAGAGAGAGTGTGGGGCAACCCTGTCATCATAGCCCTCGGGAGGCTGAGAGAGAACCCAGCCTGGCTACACGGTGATGGTCAAAACATCCTTACAAAAAACTGCAATGAGCTCTGCCCCCATGATGAACACCACAATCAGAAACTGCTTAAGGAGGGAAGGGTTTCCTCAGTTCACAATTCAGACCATGCTCCATCCTCCATGCTCCATCCTCCATGCTCCATCCTCCATGCTCCATGCTCCATCCTCCCAGGAGTCAGGACAGGAACCCAGAGGCAGGAGCTGGTGCAGAGGCCATGGAGGAGCTGCTCACTGGCTTGAGCCCCAAGGCTTGCTCAGCTGCTTTCTTCTAGAGCCCAGGACCAGCAGCCCAGGGATGGCCACACCCACCATGGGCTGGGCCCTCCCTCATTGATCACTATTTGAGAAAATGCCCACCAATCAGGAAGAGACCTATTCTGGTTCAGGTCCATCTTCCCAGGAGACCCTGGCTTGACAAGTTGACGAAAACAAACAGGACAGATTCTGCCCATGTGGGGTCCTGAGGACTTAGATGTTGGGAGGGAAGCAGGAGTGGAGGGGACTTGCAGCGCCCGAAAGGAAGCTGCAGTAACCTCTGCTCTGGTCCCAGGTGGGTGGGGCCCTGTACCAAGCTGGGCTCTCATTCCAGAGATCCTGATCACTGCTGGTGGTGAAAATGTGTCCCCTACCCCCATCGAGACCCTGGTGAAGGAGAAGATCCCCATCGTCAGCAACGCCGTGTTGGTGGGTGACAAGGCCAGGTTCCTGAGCATGCTGCTGACACTGAAGGTGATCCAGAGCCGCCCCGCCCGGCTGCCGGCCCTGCCTTTCGGTCTGGGGTGGGGTGGGGATGGCTGGGGGGCATGCATGGTGACAAGTTGTCCTGGGGCAGTGTGAGACAGACCAGATGAGTGGAGAGCCCCTGGACAAGCTGAGCTCGGAAGCCATCAACTTCTGCCAGGCGCTGGGCAGCACGGCAACCACGGTGTCAGCCGTGGTGAAGCTTCGGGACCCGCTGATCTACACAGCCATCCAGTGTGGCATAGACATCGTGAATCAGGAAGCGCAATCTGACGCGCAGAGAGTTCGGAAGTGGACTGTCTTAGAGAAAGACTTTTCCATCCAAGGTGGAGAGCTGGGTGAGTAGCCCAGCCTGGACCTCTGGAGGCTGACTCTGGGCCATACCCTTCTCTGTGGACTAGGTCTGTGGGACAAGCAGGGACATGGGACATTGCAGCCTTTACCAACTGCATCAAGCTCCCGACACGCCTCCACGTGCTGCCTCTTCCCTAGGACAGACACATTTGTGCTCTGGAACTAACATCAGACTCCTCACTGGGCTGGAGAGGTTGCTCAATGGTTAGAGCGCTTTCTCCCTCTCCCAACTCAGGACAGAATTCAGATCCCAGCTAAGTTGGGAAGCTCACAGCCATCTGTAACTCCATCTGCAGGCCTCTTCACACAACGCACTCCAATGCATACATACGCCCATGCACACACATGCCCCACAAGTAGACACATCATTAAATCTTGAAGAAAAGAAAACATTATGGGCAGAGCCCTCACTACATGAGTCCGTGTGGAGTTGTCATAATCCCTCTCGCCCACAGCAGGAGCAGACACCAGGCCAGCCTGGGACCCTGTCCCTGGTTGCCCTTGATAAGTGTTGCCCTTCCCTCCACAACGCGACTGCCCTCTCCTCTCTCCACAGGGCCGACGTCAAAACTCCGGAGACGTATCATAACCCAGAAATACAGAACCCAAATCGATTCCATGTACCTGTGACCTCTGTGGCAGGAGCCTCCTCGATGTCCTCGTGGTGAGACTGGAAGGCCTGGCTTTGCCGGGCTGGGTAGTGGTGGGTGACAGCAGTGTGTCTTGTCCTTCTGTCCTTACGATGCAGTCTTTCCAGCCAGGAGCAGCGCTCCTCACGGGTCCCCACCTGATCGCGGTACAATGTGTATGCCGGTGCTGTGGTCAGTGGGCAATCTTGGGCACCAAGTCCTCCAGCCTGGATGCCCCCCCCCTCTGGGCTCTCCTGGCTCCACTCCATCCCCCATCTCAGGGAGCACTGCTGGGCCGAAAGGTCTGAACTCAGGGCCTCGCATCCATGTGGTGCCCACTGAGCCATCTCCTTCGGTCCCTCCTTTCCATGGCTTCTGCTCAGAGGTCTGGGCTGTAGAAATTCTGACTCACCACACCTGCTATCCACTCTCCTCTCCATCCTCGGGAGCACGTGGAGGAGGGGGAGCTGAGCACAGGCATGTCACTCTCAGTCAGCCGTCACCCTGCCTGTGAAACTGGTGTCTCTAGCCTGCCCACCTGTGTGGCCTGAGGAGCAGGCCTCCCAGGAAGGGACACCACAGCTGGCCCCCAGCCCCATGCATGGCAGGGCTGTGTGCATGACTGTATTTTGAGATAGGCTCTCTCACTGGCCTGGAATTTTCCAAGTAGGCTAGGCTAATCAGAGAGCCAATGTGCTGGGATGTAAGTGGGCACCACAGGTAGCTAGATCCTCTGCTTACCCTTCCCTCCCGCCCCTCCCCCTCCTCCCAGCTCCCTCCTTTCTGTACACAGTGGCTGGGATTTGAACTCAGGCCCTCAGGTTTGTTGAGCCAGCATTGTACCCTCCGAGTCACCTCATCTCCTCAGCCCGTTCACCTTTTCTCAGGACTCTGCTCAGATGCAGTAGAACTCACCCCATGCGCTGCATTTCAGTGCCCGAACAGCCCCAGTTTCCAAATGAGCCCGGCACGAGGCGTGGGGCTCAGGCTTCACGGTTGGCCCACAGCTCGCTTCCGTTCTCTCAGTCCGACCACAGCACCTCCAGGCAGCACAGGGTGCAGCTCTAGCTGTGTGGTGGACTTGTGCCCGCCAGAGAACCAGGGCTGCACAGCCCAGCACTGGACACGGGCGGCCTGTCCCCACCCACACGCAGGCCCGAGTCTCCTCACTTTCCAAGTTCAGCCAACAAGTCTAACTGATGTCAGTACTGGTAAAAGTGAGAGAGACACGCGGGAGTCAGGTGCCCTGCTCCTTCTCTGAGACTGAACTAGGCTGCTGGCCCCCACGGCTGGGCACAGGCAGGAGCGGCCACTCCCAGTCCTCCATGTGGGCTCTGGGGGTTCGAACGAACTTAGGTCCTGATGCCTGCGTCGTATTCTTACCCACTGAACCCAACACTAAATTTTAACTGCATGCGTGGTCACGGTGTCCCTGTAACTCGCAGGGACTCCTGGTTGATGTATACTCCCTCCAAGGCATTCACTGTCCTACCAGGAACCTCACAGACTAACCCAGGTCCCTGCTCTCCAACTTCCCACAGGTAGACCTCATCTCAGTGGTTGACTCCTCCGCCCAGGGAGACCCCTCCCAAGCAGAAGAAGCTAGACCACCCGCTGCTGTTGGTCTGGCCTCAGTTTCCACAGCAGGAGGCCCAGGACAGAGACACTGGAACTGACAGACTTTCCGGCCTTGAGAGGAGTGGCAGTGTGGCCAGGCTGCAGCAGAGTCCTCCCCCCTAGGACTTTGCATTAGAAAGAAAATGCTTCAGAGGGGTGAAGAACTGGACCCCAAAACACCTTCCCGGGAGCAACTTGGAAACTTCTCAAACAAGTTGTAGTCAGGCACAGCACAGCCTTGGGGCCTCATTCTTTCCAGGTGCAAATACCACCGCCCCCCCACCCCCCGCCGCAGCCATGATGGTGAGAGCTGGGTGCTGAACACAGCTGTGGGTTCAAATATTCTGATGGCCATGTGCGTGCGCCCATCCCCCTGAGAACTGACATAGTGGTTGCCTTGACTCCTTGTGTGGTGATTGGAGAGAGAGAGAGAGAGAGACAGACAGACAGACAGACAGACAGAGAGAGACAGAGAGGGGAGAGAGAGGAGAGAAAGAGAGTATGTGTGTGTGTGAATGTGTATGGTGTATGTGTGTGTGAGTGTGTGTGTGTCTGTGTGTGTGAGTGTGTGTGTATGGTGTGTGTGAGTATGTGTGTATGGTGTGTGTGTCTGTGTCTGTGTGAGTGTCTGTGTATGTGTGTGTGTGTCTGTGTGAGTGTCTGTGTATGTGTCTGTGTATGGTGTGTGTGTGTGTATTGTGTGTGTGTGTGTGTGTGGTATGTGTCTGTGTATGGTGTCTGTGTGTGTGAGTGTGTATGGTGTGTGTGTGAGTGTGTGTGTATGGTGTGTGTGCGTGTGTGTGTATGGTGTGTGTGAGTGTGTGTGTATGGTGTAGGGTGTATGTGTGTGTCTGTGTCTGTGTGAGTGTATGTGTATGTGTGTGTGTGTCTGTGTGAGTGTCTGTGTATGTGTGTGTGTATGGTGTGTGTGTGTATTGTGTGTGTGTGTGGTATGTGTCTGTGTGAGTGTCTGTGTATGTGAGTGTGTATGGTGTGTGTGTGAGTGTGTGTGTGTCTGTGTTAGTGTGTGTGTGTGAGTTTGTGTGTGTGTGTGTGTAGGCCAGAAGTCAGGTGCCTTGTCCTGGGGCTCTCCACTGCAGTGTCTGAGACAGAGTTCCCATTCCCCATTCAACTAGGCGGCCGGCCACCAAGCCCGAGTATACCCCCACTGGTTGGATCAGAGACCACATCTCCAGGCCTACCTTTTTACAGGGCTGCCAGGGATTTAAACTCAAGGCCCTCAAAGCACCTCGCTCATGGAGTCATGTTCCTGGCCCCTGCAGGTTTGACTCCTGACACTCCCTCCTCAGGGGTGAGTCTGTGGTAACGAGCTTGAGCGCAGCAGCGTACACAAGACAGACAGATGTTCATCCCTCGACCGTCCAAAACTGCAGGGTACCAGAGCCCATGCACTGTGACAGCCCTCCCTTTCTGTGACAAAATGCCCGAGACAAACAGCTTAGAAAGACAGAGGGGGCTGAGAGAATGGCTGTTGGGAAGTGCAGGATACTAGCATGAGCGTCTGAGCTAGACTCTTTGGAGCCTCCTTAGGGACCCTTGCAGCCCAGCGCTGGGGAAGGTAACAGCAGGCCTAATGGAGACTTAGTGACAGACAGCTCTAAAATACAGTGGCCCTAAGAGGTGGCGCACGCCTTTAATCCCAGCACTTGGGACACAGAGACAGGCGGATCTCTGAATTCAAGGCCAGCCTGGCCTACATAGGGAAACCCTGTCTTGAAAAACCAAAAAAAAAAAAAGAAGGGAAGGAAAGGAGAGGAGAGGAAAAGACAGACAGAAGCCTGCTCTAGATTAACCCTGATGCCACCACTGGGCTCGGGCCCTGGACAATGGGCTTTGAAGGGACAGAAGTCTAGCCACAGTGGCTACTGTCTCAGCCACCGTAGTACTGGGGTCACAGAGATCTGCCATAAGTATGGATTCAGTTAGACTTTTATTTTTTCAAGACAGGGTCTCATGTACCTCGGGCTGGCCTCCAGATCTCTATGTAGCAGGGGATGGCCTTGAACTGGCCTTTCTGCCTCTTCTGAGCTCAGAGGAGGCTAGGATGACTTCTGGGGCCAGACTCAGTTCATAGGGTGCTGGGGACCGAGGCAGTTTCATGAATGGATCCACACACCCCAGGTATCTCTGGAACTCGCTCTGTAGACCAGGCTGAACTCGAACTCACAGAGATCCGCCTGCCTCTGCCTCCCGAGTGCTGGGATTAAAGGCGTGGGCCACCACCGCCCGGCCCTGTTTTTCTCTTTTCTTGAGACAGTGTCTTGCTATGTAACCTAGGCTGGCCTTCACCTAGTTACCCTCCCGAGAGAGCCTTCCTAGCACTGGGATGACAGATGTGGACCTCCGCCCTGGCTTGAGTGTCCATTACAAGTTACCTGGTCTCTGGTAATTTTGTTTTCATTTGCTTGAGACATAGTCTCAGGTAGCCCAGGCTGACCTAGAACTTGGTATGTAGCCTCCATGGCTGGGAGGGGCTTTGTCTCTGGTGTGTTCGAAACATACCCACCTGCCGCTGTCACCACAGCCGCCTGTGTCAATGAGTCAAGTCACAGGGAAATGTGGGGACTGATGGAGACAAAGCCACAGCCACCAAGGGAGAGGACATGCCCGGCCTCCCAGGTGCTGGACGTCCATTTGTCCACACAAAGCTCACTCCGGGAGCTCTATCCTCATTGTGTTTTCTTGGCAGGGAGTCACGGGCTCCCCTTTGTGTGTGTGTGGAGGAAGAATGTTCGTGAACCTCTGCTTTGGGGTCTTTTTTTTTTTTTGGTGCTTTGAGACAGGGTTTCTCTGCAGCTTTGAAGGCTGTCCTGGAACTGCTCTTGTAGACCAGGATGGTCTCAAATTTACAGAGATCCGCCTGCCTCTGCCTCCAGAGTGCTGGGATTAAAGGCGTGCACCACCACCATCGCCCGGCTGCTTTGGGGTCTTGTGTCCTGTAAGGTCTGACCCTGCACAGGCAGCGAGGACAAAGCCTGTTCTGGGAAGTTGTGTGGGCATGGGCTTCACCCGAGACATTGTGTGGGCACGGGCTTCACCCGAGACATTGTGTGGGCACGGGCTTCACCCGAGACATTGTGTGGGCACGGGCTTCACCCGAGACATTGTGTGGGCACGGGCTTCACCCGAGACATTGTGTGGGCACGGGCTTCACCCGAGACATTGCTTTCCGGGGTCTCTGGCCTCACCAGCTCTCCCTTTCTAAGTGCGCCTTTAACTTGGTTTCTGGTTTGAATTATTTAGTTACTTATTTGTGGGGTGAGGCTCACCCCACAGTGCATGTGGGGGTCAGATGTCAACTTCAGCTCCCCACAGTGTGGGCCCTGGGGGTCGAAGGCAGTTCATCAGGCTAAGCCATCCCCTAGCCCTCAGGGAGCCTGAGTTGACTCAAACTTGCTATGCAGCTCAGGCTACCTTTGACCTCATCATGTAGCCCAGGTTGGTCTTGAAGACTGTCAGCAGTGCTCCTGCCTAAGCTTGTTCCCACTTTGATGGCACCCTCCGACACCTGAGTTTTTAGCGTTGGAGACATCCGGTTCACCTTAGTCTTGGATTTGCTGTGGTGTGTTCACGTGTATGCAACTGCAGGGCCTGTGGCGGTCAGAAGCAGGTATAGGGTCCCCTCAGCTGGAGTCTCAGACAGCTCTGATTAGCCAGATGTGCATGCTGGTGACGGAACCCTCGCCCTAGGAAGAGCTACCAGCACTGGAACTGCGGCCACCTCCCTGGCCCGGGAGTCAAGCCCACACGCCAGGGAAAACCTGCACCATCCAGGCAGCATCTCGGGACCCACAGATGGCAGATTTGAGCCAGCTAAGAATGGTGCAGCCTGTTAGCGGCACACGCCTTTAATCCCAGCACTTGGGAGGCAGAGGCAGAAGGATCTGTGTGAGTTCAAGGCCAGCCTGGTCTACAGAGTGAGTTCCAGGACAGCCAAGGCTACACAGTGAGATTCTGTCTCAAGAAAACCAACCAAACCAACCAACAAATAAAATTGGTGGGCACCAAGGGATGGTTATTGCAAAGCAAATAAACTTCAGACCAGCCGGGCGGTGGTGGCACACGCCTTTAATCCCAGCACTCGGGAGGCAGAGGCAGGTGGATCTCTGTGAGTTCGAGGCCAGGCTGGACCGACAGCCTCCAAAACAATACAGAGAAACCCTGTCTCGAAAAACCAAAAAAAACAAAAAAACAAAAACAAAAACAAAAAAACTTCAGACCAGACTTCCTCACATTCAAAACGGCAAGAAGCCACCCCTTAGGTGTGGGCATCAATGTAGCCCCTCACCCCGGGCATCTAATGAGGATGAAGTAGAAAGACAGCCGAGTGCAATGATCCTATCATTGTCTGTTGCTTAACAAAACCTCTAAGGCCAAGGAACAAAGTTCATTTAGCTCGCATTTAAGGAGGCCTGAATTCCAAGATCCTGTTGATAAAGTCCCCTCCCCCCAAGAGTCACATGGCAAACGAAGGGACACCATCCCTTTTGGAAGCAGGAAGAGACAACTGGCCTGGGCCAGCCTTGGACTTGGGGATCCTGCCTCAGTCTCCCCAGCGATATTGTGACAAGCATGCCTCATCGCCAGGCTTAGGCCAGACGACACTACCCTTAGCCTGGAGCCCACTGTTTCTGCTATGCTGGATGGCCAGGAGCCGCCAGGATCCACTGCCACCATGCACAGTGCTGGGTCACAGGGCAGTGCTGCCTCTGTGGACTTCATGAGCGCTGGGGACGGGGCTCTAGTGTTTGCTAGCTCAGAGTGTACTGCCCACTAAGTCATCTCCAAACTCCTAAATTCCACCGTTTTCTTTTCTTTTGTTTTTTTGGGTGGGGCAGTGGTCTATGTAGAAAAGGTTGGCCTTGAACTCACAGCGATCTGCTTCCCACAAATCCCGCTTTTAAAGGTCAGCTGTGCCTGGTAGGGGGACAGACCTCAGATCCACACAGCCTCCACAGCAACATGGGCACTTTGAGTAATATTTTGGGGTGTCGGCTCAAGCACACCAAGACTCTGATCCAGGAAAGAACTTTGGGGTGAAACAGCCAACTTGGTACTAGAAGACACTGTAAGGACATTTGTGGATGGATTATTTATGTACTGGGGTGCAGGGAGAGGTTGGAGGACAATGACAATGTGTGTAAGTGGTCTTCCTCCAGCACGAGAGTCCCAGGGATGGAACTCAGTTCTTCAGGCTTGGCAGCAATCA